TGCCGTTACCCCCAATGATCGCAAAGACCTTTTTCTTCAATTCCGCACACACTGAAATCGCCATAACGTCACTCTGTATATCGCCGCAAGCGACAATAACAACATCACGGTCCGCAGCAAACCCCCTGAGTAATATTTGGTCGTAGGGTTTTTCACACAACTCAATACAAGCAGTGGGGTTAAGTGCTTTCAGCTGGGTAATTTCATTTTCTCCATTGTTGAACGCGTGAAGGGAGACACTGTCATCTTTATTCATCTCGGGGTAATACATCCGGAGGTTCAAAGAACCAGCCCGAATTAAGTATTCCGAGACAAACGAGAGTGACGGGTGGTTTCCAATTAACAGAAACCGTGTTGTCTGAATTGTTTTATAGTTGTCCTCGCCAATCAACAATTTTGTTCTCACGTCCCAGTCTTGAGGTGGTGCTTTGATATGGCTCATTTCTTCATTTTTAAAGATCTTCCTCTTGTTTTGAAACAAACTATAATTTAATGGTATATTTGTTATAAAATAAACTATAATCGAGTTAATATTATTATAATTATATATCTACTAATATATAGTTAAATTGGTCAAGTAGAATTCAACACTATAAATTAATGAAAAGTTAATTAGTCAATTTGAGAGTGATTTGTTGTTTAGAAACCATTGTTGCATTTGGGTAAGTAGCGGACAAGTCTAGAGTACCGTCTTGTTTCATCTCGATCACCAGAATGACTTTGTCTCCCTTTTTGGGCGAGAAAGGGATTGAGATTTCTGCGTTTCCAACGAGCATATTTGGGTTAGGGATAACAGTGTCTTTGTACATTTCAAAACCAATTGTTTTTTGGTCGTCTTGTGATATTGTAAAAGTGTATCTTTTCTTGGTTGGAAGTTTTGTTCCTTTCTCCACTACCGTTTCAACCATTCGGATCCCAAATAGACTTTTAAACACACAAATACCAAGTGAATACTCAGCCACTGACATGTCACTTTTGATTAAATATTTATTTGAAGTTCTTTATCTTCTATTGTAATTATTTGCCGGAAATGATACTTCGTTATAACATTTTACTATAAATTTATTGATGTAAAGCTATAATATTTATCATATTTTGCACGAACAAAAAATCATTCAAACGAGTTGATATCGTTTACATTCAAATGTTAATAATGTGTTACTAATAACACAAATATAGTAAATTAATAACGAAAGCTCATTCAAGCGTGAACACAAATACAGTTACTCGAAGGTCAACAAAGAGTCTATGAATTGCCCACTAAGTACCAAATGCTCAGTGTTTTTGAACATCATTCCAATTTCTTGTCTAACTCCATCCACAGACCCTTCACTCAAATTATTCATACAGACTTCTACGGTGTCCAAGTTAGCAGGAAGTGCTATGATTCTCCCTTTTGACAAATCATTTGTAATCAAGCAAAGGTATTCCAGTCGTGTTAATCGAGTGATGTCCAATGTATTCAATTTTTCTAAGCCGACAGTTAATTTAGTCACACAATGGGGGAGAGTAGTTCCTAGTATCACACTTTCCTTGTTCACAACAACTTCTTTCCAATGGGCCAAAGGCATTGAATCCAAGAATTGGTTCACCTCAATATATGTCAAACTTTTAGGGAAAAGAGTACCCACGGGAGTATACGGAATAGTCAGTCGTTCCAGTCCCGAGTTGAGTTTAATAGAGACTACTTCTCCTCTCAAAATTACTTCTTTGAGTTGAAGTGGTACTGTGAAATTGGTTGGTGGCTTACTCAAAACAAGTGTTTTGAGTGTCGGGATATCGCGATAACTTTTATCAAAAGAATAAGTCTCCAATCGTTCCAAATGAATTTCGCAGAGATTTTGGACACCAACCATTTTTAGACTATTGAGTAACGTCAGAGATTTGAGTGATATTGGTAGATACGTTTTCTTTGGTAAAACACCGACTGTAAGTTCTTCCAAATGGTCAAATGTTCTAAAGTCGAATTCCGGCTTAGTTTCTTTTTTAATAAAATAAGTGTTTGTATGTCTACCTTCTTTAAATACAAAAGCACTGATTTTTAAAGGGAGAAAATATGAATTAGCGAGTGATGGATAATTTATTAGAGGATCTTTAAAGAAATCAGCGGGTGAATTCTGTTGTAATGGAAACTCGTCATATGAGTTGATGAACTGAGTTGTAAAGTTCCAACGCTTGACACCGAACATTAAAGTCGGGTACTTATTAATAAGAGTTGAGACTTCAATTTCGGTGTGGTTGATATTTAACAGTATCACAACATGAACACCTTTTTGTATTAATTGTCTGTACACTTCATAGTACGTTTCCCATGATATGTTCTGTTTTCGCAAATACTCTTCTTTGTGTGTTTCAACAACAATCAACGTTTTCAGACGTTTAAATTGAAGAACGATGTCAGACATTAAGGTTTGTGGAATGCGACACACCTCCATTTTCTCGGCAGTTTCATTAAATTTAGTAAATGAAAGAATTTCAAAGTTGGCGTTAACTATTTTTGTGTAGATCACTGAATTGATACTAAAGTATTGACTCAATGTTTTTGTGTATGACAAAACCACTTGGTCACACATGGACATTTGGTCATCACGACAATTAACCAATTGTGTTGGTGTTAACAACAGTGTTTGTAAATTGGGAAACAGTTTTTTGAGTAAATCGATGAATGCTTGTATTTTTGAACGTTTGAATGTAGTTGCCATTGCGTTGTATTTATCGTTTGTCATGTTGTGTGGTGGGTGATATACAAAGTCTTGAAAATCGACTAATGGATTGGTCCGCAGAGAAAACGCGGCAGTCCCACACTTTTTGGATACAGTGATGAAGGTTTCAAGACTGCGGAGATCAGAGATATATAATAACACATTCATCATAAAGGGAAGTTCGAGAGACGACATTCAAATTAATTATTTCAGTTTGAAATTTTGGATTGAGTAGTTGTAGGGACAAATTGGTTTTATCACTAACAAAATAAATGTTTAAAAATGGTAAAGAAGTGTGAAATTCACACAAATATACAAAGTAGTTTATTTTTAGAGTTTTTTATTTGAAATAAAACAAAATAAGACTGATATGGTATTACCGTTTCAATCAAAACTTATTGTACAGGCAGTGAAGTGAAGGTATAAATTTTCAATTAAATACTAAATTTAAGGGTTTTCTTATCACGAAATATTTTATTTTGATTGGCTGAAATTGTCATTCTCAATAAAACCCTTATTTAACAAGCCGAATTTGTCCTTATTATTATAATAATTATTGACATTTTGATTATCTTGTTACCATATTGTTTGTTTGGAAATTATATTTTATAGTTATTTTAATCATTTAAAAACTATAGAAAAACAACAATCACACATAAACCAAGAAGCGAATAAACCAATAAAAAACCATCACTTAACTAAACTTGGCAACAAAGCAAACTTCACAAATCCTGCTTCATCACAACTCAAACAGATGATAAGTGTGTTTATTTTTTGCCAGCTAGCCCAATAGCCAATAACCACACTCACAACTTATCATTAATTAAAGATCTTAAAGATGATGTAATAAAATTTAATATTTGAATATTTATGTAATAAGTGGATAAACAATGAAAAAATAACAATAACAAACGTAGAATATGACACCAAAAATATTTAATCTTTGTTTTCTTTTTTAACAAGAGTTAATGCTTGGTGTTTGCCTTTTTCTCCTTTCGACTTCAATTTATTTTTTAAGTTCGTTCAATTTTATTTTTCAACTTATTTTTTCAGCAAAGTCGAATTTAAAAATAATCTAAAAATGGGTCTAAATTTTTTCAAAATATTTTTTTTAGTTTTATTGACCAAAAATTTAAACCCGAAAAAACAGTAAAAATATGACGTAAAATTGTTGTATTATTCTCAAAACCCTTTTATTTAGTATTCAATTGAAAATTTATACCTTCACTTCACTGCCTGTAGAGTTGATGGAAAAAAGTCCGGCTCGATAAAAAAGTATGGCTCTTTATTTAACTATAGTAAAATATAATATTGTTAATTATAAATGAAAAACATTTTGTTTTTTCGAAAAAAACAAAATATTAAAAATAAATTAATTAAAAAGATAAAACTATAAAATTATATATGGAAAAAGAAACTGAACTCGTGATGAATGAATTTGTTATTTTGAAAAACAAAGTTGATATTTTAAATACAAAAACTGAAATTGAATTGCAAAGTGCTCAATTCTTTTTACTAAATCAAAAACAAATGAATTACTACAGTGAATTGATTGAAAAAAGAAAAATTCACGTAAACTACATACTTTTGTTACTCAAAGGGATGGAGCACAAACCAATCGATTGGTTAACAACATTCAGTCGATTCTACACAATGCACAATAAAAAAATATTTTTGCATTTCGAGGCAGCGGGTTTGTTACAGCAACCGATTCCAATTGTCAAAATATCGTTTATGTGGGTCCACAAAATGCCGTGGAAATTAAAAAAGTAATTGTCGCTCCTTCAGTGCCTCAAACAGTAAAAACCAGTAAAACCTTTCATATAAATGAACCAAAATGTTAAAAAAGACTGAGAACCAACACAGGAAGTTCCTAAACTGCGTTTGTGTTAAGTACAATTTCGGGATTTGAGGACTAAAAAAGCATGTCTCGATATCTTAATTGAATTGTTCGTTCGGCTCGTTTGTAATTTGAATTTTAATAATAATAAAAAAACAAAATACAAATAGTTGTTTATTATAAAAATAGTTTATCTTATCGAGCCGGACTTTTTTCCACCAACTCTAATTCAAATTACAATAACATTTGTAAAACAATTTCAATAGCATTTTTCTTTAAAAAAAAACTCTTGGCAATTTGTCTGAAATTTTATTGTTTTTTTTAAATAACTTTCTTTTTATTACTCAAATTATATTTTTATTTAAAAAACAATTAAAATCATAGTTGAATTATATTCAAAACAACCCCATATATCAATATATTATAATATTTATATTATAATTTATACTAGTTATTAAACCAAGATTTCACCAGGAAAAGATAAATTCAAATTCAGCAGCACCCACTTTCTTTCTTTGGAGGAGGGGTGTTTTCAATGTTGATTGACCCCGAAGGAGCGCTATTAGTGAATATCGCAACACCGTTATAATAATATATTAATTATTAAATAATAGTATAATAAAAATACAAAAGAAGAAACAAACGTGGTCACTTCTTTCATTGATTGAACAACCTTTGTGGCGACATCTAAGAATGCTTGGTCGACTCTAAGGCCTGTCTTTGCAGATGTTTCATAATAAGGAATAGCTCCATTGTTTTCACACCATTGTTTGACTGCGTTGACGTTGACTGTGTGTTTTGATGGGTCTTCATCCATCTTATTAATCAATACAACAAACGGAAAGTCTTTTGGATTGGTGACATTAGCCCCATTTAAAAACTCCTTTTTCCAAGTGTCGAGGGACTTGAATGATTGTTCGTTTGTGACGTCGAGGACCAACAAACAACAGTCGCTACCTCTATAGAATGCTGCGCCAAAACTCATAAATTTCTCATGTCCAGCTATTCATTAAAAAGTGTTACAATTGATTTCTTCAACAAACCCGTGTCCCAAATTTGAAGAGTCACTGCAGTACCATTAATAGATACCTTATTATTAGTTTTATACTATTAATCTATTGATATTATTAGTTACTAGTAACTACCTATTCCTCAAACCTCTTTTGTTAAAAAGTCTGCTCCAATGGTCGCCTTGTATTGGGCAGTAAAAGTTTTTTCGATGAATTGATTCATCAAGCTTGACTTGCCGACACCTATCAAGTCAATGTATTGTTTCGTATGAAAAAAACAAACCAGAATCACCAATCAAAATCATTTTCAATAAAACCTTCTTATGCTTGGTGGACATGTTTAATTATACAGTTCTTTTTGCAGTTCATATCTTCTTTTCATTTTCTTTTTGCAACTTCCATTGTGAATACTATTCTTTTAATTCTTTTGACAACTACTGAAGTCGGTTTTGCTCACAATAGTCTTGCCAGAACGGGACTAAAGAAAACATTCTGTTTTCTTTTATTCTATTTTTTAAAACAAGTCCAACGATTAACTATATGTAAATATATATTTTTATTATTTTATCAATTTGGTTGAAAAAAGAATGGTTGAATAAAGTTAAATAATAACTTATTTTATTAATAACATCTAGTTCAATACTGACCAATCATTTAATTCTTCCAAAAAAACAAAAATAACAATAATAACATTTTAATAACATTTTTGATGATTTATTGGTTATTAGAAATTTAAAAAGTTGATAAAGTAAATACAAGGAATGCCCTCAATAATAGTATTGTTGATGTAAAATACATTTTTTAGCAAAACAACACAATTGACTTAATTTATTTGGCCCAATTATTTTTATTTCCAAAAATGTATTAAAATAAAATGTATTATTAAAATATTATAATATTACTAATATAATATAATAATATTGACACTAAAAAATATTTTTGTGTTTAAAGAAAAATTCCATTTATTCAGGTTTCAAAATTTTTTAAAAAAGGAGCATTTGAGTATTCAACTTGTTTTTTACTAGAAGTATTAGTAAGTCAAAGAATAAATATAAAATTATTAAAAAAAGCTTTAAATAGAGTACTAACCCGAAATACGAGAAATGAATTACTCTTTACAAACTCGGGAAATGAATATAAAAATAGATTGTTTTACCTCCCTCATAATTACATAGAAACTCGTGTAAAAAAGAGTCCTATAACTCCCGAATATTAGAGATACAATACAATAAAACAACCGTCTCTAAGCACTCAAAGAAAAAAACTGGAAGACGAACTTTAAATTTTCATATCCGAATGAACGCGTTGACCAGGAAATTGACTTTCATTGCACAAGACTGTGGGTTCACGTACGAAGAACTGAAGAGTGAAGAAGAAAAGACTTCCGAGGAGCAAGAGGAACAAACTGAGTTTGGCAAGCGCCGTCATGAGTTAAAAAAGAAAATCACCGACGTCAAAACGAACATTGAAAAACGCGCTGACATGGAGAAACTTCCCGACGTTGATAAAGTTGAAGTTGTGAAAGTATCCACTGAGATTCGTAAAGGGATGAAAGAGGTAATAGCAGGAGCCGAAGATTTAAAAACGTATCATGAGAGTGATGTCTACAAAAACAGGAAAAAAGTTTGTTTTTGTATCAGAAGTGTATTACTAGTAATAAAACTATTGCCAAATTGGTTACTTTATTCAATGATTTAATATAATTAACTCAATAGAAAGACCCAAAAATTCGAGAGAGACTTGGCATTGAAGAAGAATCACTCAAATGCATTCAACAACATATCGAACAATTACAAGCAATGGATAGAGAAAGAAGTGGAATGGGTGACGTTCAGAAAGGAATGCCTACAGTCAATGGCCTCGATAAATATAAAACAGATGAACTGCCAGATATCGAAGACGACGAAAGGTTTAAACAGATGAAAGAAAATGATAAAGAAATCGACGAAAAACTCGACAAAATCGCGGAGGGCGTCAAGGACGTCAAAAACATCGCAAAAAATATCAACGAAAAAATCGACGTTCAAAAAGATAAGCTCGACACTTTGGAAGACAAAGTCGATAACGCCAATGAACGACTCGACTTAACAAATGAAAAAATTAAAGGGGTTCTCGCTAAGGTTAGGGGCCCCGACAAAATGTTATTGACAATCATGGGTGTCTGTCTCTTCATCGGTGTGGGTAGTATAATTGCTATGATCTTCATCAAGTGATCTTGTTTGGTGTTTTTTAGGTTTCCTTCATTTCGTTTCGACAACACAGATGTCATTGAACAGATTAAGTTGGTTATATTTGAAGTATATTGAAGTGATTGAGGATATTAATGAGAAACACCTCGTTAATTAATATCTAATACTTAATATTAAATATATATACTATTAATATATAGTATATTATAGTATATTATATAGTATATTATATAGTATTGGAAATAACAAATCGAATGTATTTAAATTAGAGGACATCTTTGGAGCATGACTTCTTAATTGCACTTTTGAGGACTCGAGCCATTGTTATGGTCTGTTTTGTATCTTCAGGTCGCTCCCAAGTGATTTCGAGTTCGATTTGATCTGCTTGTTTGTTCAAGCAAAACATTCTATTAGTGTTATTCTCCAAAAATTCCCATCTAATTACTTTGTTTGTGTTACTCTCGACTATTTTAAACTTGTACTCGAAAGGTAAGGTGTGGACTATTGCAGTCACTTTCCATATATTGTTTTCATAGGGAACCAAATCAATACCACCATTCCAATTTCCAAGCTCTGGGATATTCCCTACAACTTGTACTTTTTGGCCATATTCTGTTTTGTAGTTGATTGTAAAAGTAATCAAGACCATTTAATGATTGAATTTTTTAGTGCTTTTATTGACGCTTTTTGGGTTGCAAACTATTTTATAGTTTTTGAATATTTGAAGAACAGATTTTCGAGTTGTTTGTTTAAATAAGTAAAATGTTCTGTGTTAATCGGGAAAATGGTAACTACCACTCGTCGAGTCACTCGATGAGAAAAAGAAGGTCTTTGACGTTCCACTCTTTTGGTAAAAATTGTTGTGAGCAACAAACTGCTTTTTTTCTCTTTTTAACAGTCATTTTACTTCTAATAAAGAGGGGTTTTCCCTTTCAAAACAAGAGGTAAAAAGGACGTTGAAATGCTGACAAATAATAATCATTGAACACCTTTGCACTTAAAAATGTACAAATAGGGTTTCCTAAAATAACATTTTGTGGGAAAATTGTTTTACCTCTGTTTGTATTGTAAAAAAACGGGGAGTTGAGTTGTCTCCAATTTTTTGGGATATTGTTAAAAATGTAATTTTTTCCGCCTCTTCTTCGTCGTAGAAAAAATCAAACAAGTTACACACAAGTAATTTCATGGAGAAACAACTCAATTTTTTTTCCTACCATTTATATAATATATTTATTATTAAATAACTATACCGAATCCAAAAAAATAATCACAAGAAAAAAACAAGAATTAATCATACTAATAGTTACATTTTACTAAATTTTAATTAAAAGTTGGACGTATAAATACAAAACCGAAATAATTCAGATGGAACACCGAAATGGAAGACAAACCAAAATGTGTGGAAAATGTTATACACGAAGGAAGAAAAGCGACGAGAACATGAAACCAAGAAACGTTGCACTGGATATGACGAAACAATTAAAACACCTCAAAATGTGTGTTGACAACTATCGGATTCTTGGCGATGATAAATCAAAGCCGTTTCACGACAAATTTGATTTACTTAAGATCGCGAAAGTGGCCGCAACGAAGGAAGGGCTTGAACGAGAGAGAAAGCAATTTCTGCAAATGTTTGATGATTTGGACATTCAGAAATTTCTTGACGATGTGGAGAATGATCCACAACAGATCCAGGATTTGGCCTTCTTCAAAAACAAATTCCAGGATTTGTTATTAGATATCCCTGAACCCCAACCTATTTTGACGTGTAATAACACCACCACTATAACGGACATTGAAAATCAACAAGACACACATCAACCAATTAACATCTTTGAGAAGAGAGAGGAGAAGAAACAAGAGGAGCAAAGTGAGAGTACAATTTTAGAGGTCTTTGACAATTCAAAAATGGAAGAAGAAGCACTTCCACAACCAACTAACGATTGGGAATTAAAAGAAGAGAAGCTAATGAGTTCGTCGTCTTTGTCAACAAATTCTCCAGAACAATCTCCACGTCGAGAGAAGCAACATGACCACACACCATCTTTCAATCTTAACGAGAACGAACCGTGCAATGACTTTTCGTTGAACGAAGAGTCTTTGGAAGAGCACAAAGAAGGGTCCGAATCATCGAAAGAGCCTTCAGAAGTCGAAAACATTGAATCAATATTTGGACGCTCGAAAGATAGTACAAGACCATCTTTAGAGATAATTACTGAGGATAACATCACCGAGATCATTCAAGACGCTCCACCCGAAGTCACTGAGAAAAAACCTTTGAAATTATTAAATACAAACATACCCGTCATTAAGAAGAGCTCACAGAAAACAAAGAAAAGTCTTGAGAAAAAAGGTGACGATTGTATTGACGTTGATTTTGTAACAATGAGAACTTCCGAGGACACTGTTTCGCCAGAAGAAGTCTTGTCTCAAGAGTGTGTCGAGTTCTTTAGACGTGTAATTAGTCAGTTGTGATATAGGTGTTGGTTCTAGTTTATTTATAGTTTGTATATACTATTGCAACAAATAATTAACGAGTTAATATTATTTTTTTATTGTTTTTTGCACATTAAATACATTAATTATTAACGCTCTTATTTATTAATTTTAGTTTGAGAAAAGCTCGTTAATTAAATTATAATGAAAATGTTCTGATATATAAACTAGAGTTTTGAATTAAAACTATTAGTTCATTAATAGACTATTTAAAGGAGAGAAAAAGAACTAGGAATAGGAATGGAAGAATTGGTACAATACATCCAAATTGCTTTTGGACCAGGGTCATCTCCAGAAATGAAAACACAAGCGAGCGCGGGGTTGGCTGCGTTCTTAAAGAAACCCGAGTCATTCAACTTTTTTCAATCACTTATGATGACACCAAGGAATGACCCACTCTTCATCGAAAAAGTGAACTATGGTGCTATGATTCTGCAAAAGAAATTGATGTATAACTACTCCAACATACCAAAAGAGCTCTTGCCACAGATCAAAGAATTTGTTTTTGCTAAAATTGTCGAGTTCAAGAATGAGAAATTGTTGGTCAAACAGATATCACTTTCTATTGTTGCATTTGCTTTACAGGACATCACGTGGAACAATTTTGTGTTAGGGATATTAGAAAAGATTCCCGTGTCACAGGAGAACAACTCGTTGTTACTCACTTTATTCACCGAAGTTGCTATTGCAGGAGAGAAAATGGATTTGATAGATACTTCAATGAGAGCAAAATTTGCAGAGGTCATCAACCAGACGGCACCATCCATATTCGACTTTGTTGTGAACGTTTGTTCGCAAAATGTCGCACTGACTCCAATTGTTTGTTACTATAAAATATAATATCTTTTAAATGAAAAATGTTCATTGCATAGGCTGGTGCATGTGTAGTCGAGTGGATCAATAGTACCAATTTATCATTAGAAGTCTTCCAGAAAAGTACATTGATTGGATTTTTCTTGAAGCAGTTAGGATCTCCATATTCGGACATATCATCAAGTGTTATTGAGGCTTTTCTCAAGAAGTTGACAGAGAAGAATTCACGACTTCCAAACGACCAAGAGAAGGCGATAATAATGAATTTGGCTATTGGGGTAATGCAAGAATTTGTGAAGTATACCCCTATGATCACACAAAACCCATTGCCGTGCTTCTTCCAGATATCAGAGTTGTTTGCTATGGACCTGCTGCAGTACGTCAAGTCTCAATATGCTCCATTAATCAATGAACATCTGAATCAACTTGTATTAGCAGCAGACACTGTTGACGAAGACGTCGTCCGAAGCGTCAGTGACGCTTCAATTGCATTATTACAAGCTCCAAGCACCCGGCGAGCCAAAGAGTCTGCTTTGTTATACGAATTTTTGACTGATTTTGCACGCAAAATGTTCCAAAAAGTCGTGACAATCCATTTGGACACACGTGGCTTGAACGGTGAGGAATTGGTTGATTTCTTAGTTCTTCGTAAAAATGTCCCATATGTTGTGTTACGGCGATGCGTTGATACATTGAGCAATATAGCTTCGATAGATATCTTAATACAATTGTGGGGGGTTAACACGAATAAAGAACCTATTATAGCAGCATTGGATGCGTGTAGTGAAGATTTGGTGATGTCTCCTGGTACGTCCCGACTCATCCAATTGTTTTCTGTTGGTATTCAGTATGTTGCACAACAACCTGAAATCCCAGTGCTCTTTACAAGAAGTCTTATTATAGCAATTGGGAAGTACGCGAGGTTCTTTGGTGAGGAATGTCCACAAGTTGTTCCGGACTGCGTTGAGTTTCTCATGAAATACGTTGGACACCCGATCTTGGGAAAGAAGGTGGCGGGTGCATTAATGCGGCTATCACATGGCTGTCCTGTCTGTATGGCAAGCAAAGTTGGGGTATTGAAAACGGTGTATGACAGTGTTGTGCAGTCAGTTGTGCAAGGCAAATTAAAAGGGAATGAGAAACAATTTTCAAAATTGATCAACACGTTCTGTAATGTTATTGGGTCTGATAGTACACATGAGCTGTTACAACAAGTATTTACCGTCCCAGCTAATGTAGTGAGGAAGAGTGTTATTGCAAAGAGTGTGAATAATGAAACGATGACAGGACTGTGGTTGATGGGTGTGATATTTAGTGGACTGAACCGGTCGAAATTCCGAATGGAAATCGCCGCTGTTATTTTGGAATTACAAGTCCCCGAGGTTTTACATGGACTTTTGGAGTTGTTGGTTAACATTAAGAATGAGGGAGGGATCGACGAGTGTTGTGATGTCATTGGAGGAATGTATTTGGTTATTCAGGCGCATGCACAACCATTTTTGATTAACTCACTTCAGATCATTGGGAAAGGATATTCGTTCACAAAAAGCGCAAGCTTCATATTGTGTTTGTCGAAGATCATAGATGCAGTGTATTCGACACAAATGCTTAGAGATACACTTTTGAAAAATTCAGTGCCAATTTTAGACCAAGCGATGAAAAGTGCAAATAGTGTGTCGAATGATCTTATTGAATATATTGCAGCTTGCTTTGGAACTATGACGATTCCTAAAGAGATATTTGAAGGAGTTTTTAAATGGCACGTGACAATGTTAATCACTCCAGAACAACGGGCGTATCACGCGTTGTGTATCAACTTAGTAAGAATTATTAATAATAAAGAAGTCACGGCAGCAGTCGTTCAACCAGAAGTATTACTATCTTGTCTCGAGAGCGTTGTCCATTTATACACTAAGGAAAGAGAAAAAGAGTGCAGCTTAGTCTTAAGAGAACTCTACGCTATTGACTCTGTTTCATTCTGCAATAACATGCAATTGATATTTCAAAATAAGTATACCACTGTTCCTAATGGGTTTAGACAGTCATTTATGCCTAACAACAGACTACCAAAGTCGGCGTTCAACAAGCTTATCGAGGACTTGTTTTTCATATTGAAAGAGACGGCTTGACATTAATTTACTATTGATTATAATTATTTTAATCTATAATTTAATATATATTTTGGTTAGTTCTATTTTTGGATTTAAAAATATTAAAGTTTGTTAATTAAGTAATACTATACTTTCTATTGCTATATAATTTTTTTTGATTATATAAATAAAAAATAACATTATATTGTTATAAATAAAAAAATATATATTAAACTATGTTAACATTTTACTATTATATTGGTTTCTAATTTGAAAAAACATTCCACAAAAAACAACAAAATAATTGTTTTTTATTGTAGTTTATTTTAATATTTATTTTTCGTGAGAGAAAAAAACACAAAAAAAGAGGAGAAAAACCACTTGTGCAAATGAAAAAAAATTATTTGATCAAATGGTTGTATAATGTAAATCAAAATGTAATAGCTTATTATAGTTTTTGTGAGACATTTTTATTATTATTAAAAAAAAAAGTTATATTAAAATAAATAATTTTTTATTTATTTATATTTTTTTATTGAAAAATTTATATTATATTTAATTATATTTTAACAAACATTTACTTGTAAAATGAGAGTTGAAAATTATGTAATATTTTTATTATAGAATAAATAGTCAAATATATGTCAATGAAGTCAATGTCACGAAAATTCTCAACTCCCAAAATAGTACAAGAAAAACTTCAATAAAATTTATATTGTAATTTAGCTTATTATTTCTCAAAAAACGGGCAAATTTGAGATGAAAAAATAACACAAATAATAAACAAACAACGTCAAAGGTCTTCGGAGAAAATACGTTACAATCTCAAATCGATACCAATTACCATTTCCTAGTTTAATATAGTAAAAACAGTTAAAAATGGGTAGTAAAATGAGTTGAAAACACAATAATGGGAAGAGTGAGAGACGAACGGAGGAACAAAAAGTTTACAAAAAGCCGCAAAATCATAGGCAAGTCGATGATTCTTCTGAAAAAAAAAAGAAGAACTGAACAAACGAAGAATAAAGAAGAAAGAAAAAGAATGATAAAAATATGATGAGCGTTGTGAAAAGGAAAGAGTCTTCTGACGGCGAGTCTTCCTTCTCTTCGTCTTCCTAATAAAACCCCACGAACTGTGATGATCACATTTCCTCAAGCAATGTCCGTACAGTTCACCGAACAACAACTCAATCCCTGTCGCCCCGTCCCTTTCGTCTTGCAAAACTGTTTGCCTACAAACAACTCATACGGATGGTCTCCAACCACTGCGTACTCTCTCCCACAGCCCAAAAACGTCTATTCTCCTCTTTTAGTAGTCACCCCTATGGATACCCCTATGGTGGAAGATGACTCTGAAGAGCTTAAGTACAACCCTCCATATTTGGAACAAGACGTCTTTGCCTTTGACGAACAGATGGATGGCACTAAGAGTAACCTCCCTTCAAAAAAGTGCCAGGGATACACCGGTAACATCGGTATTACAACGTGTCGACATACCACACAGAAGAATGGATCGGGGCCTATTTATTTACACACCGTGCAGAGTTCCAAGTTGAACAACGACAAAATCACTGTTCAAGACTTTGGTGCCCAAGAGGACTTTGTCGACGACGAGGACTCTCAAGGGTTCGAAGAAGACCAAGACGATATGGAAGACTCAGACGACCAAAATGAAAACATTCAGGAGGTCATCGATAAACTTGAAGAACTTAAGAAGATGGGAGATGAAAGAAATCGACTGTTGAAACACATGATACAAGGACAGCAGTAAGTTCTGTGACGGCTATCGCTCTGTTCATTTATTGTTTTTAGGTGTTACTTTTTTATTATAATTTATAATATATTTATTATACTTGAACTAGAATAAACTACACACAAACATAATCAATAAGACTCCATGTCTATCGAAGTTCTTGCTGAGGAAGAAACACTTGTAGAAACACTGCTAACGCCAGAGGATGGAACAGAAGACGGAAATGTACAACTCCAGACTTCCACGCGGCTTGGGATAAAAGTTGAACACTTCAAAAAGGGTTCGTTGTTGTATGTAGGTGTTCTGTAATTCACACCATATAAGTCTCTGTCAAGTGATAATGAAGAAACGCCACTATTTGTAATTAACTTGTTAAGTATAAATTATAAACAAACTTCCCACCACCAAAGGAAAACTTTGAAGCGTCTGTTAATAAGAAATAATTGTTATTTGATGTCGATGAATACTTCACCTTGTCAGTCAAAGAGAAGAGAAAGGTCTCTCCCGTACTTCGATACTTTGAACAAATGGAGAGTTCATCGGGGACATACCCACCAAATATCTTGCCTTCTGCTTTAATGAGTACAACAAGAGGATATCTAGCAACACATTTGTAATATAAATTTCTGAGGGAGAAGCCATCTGTAGTGGAAGAGTAAATCACCTCCAAATCAGTAAATGCAATTCTTGTTGGCAAGAACATATTCAACGTGCTCGCCTGATCGACACTTAACATGTCATTCGGGAGTACCGAAGGCGACACGCATTGTAAATGGTAAAATGAGACTGGTGTATCGAAGAATGAGTGATACTTGAATTTTGGGTTGATAGATATGAAATAGTGGAATTGCAAATGTTGAGGTAGTTCATTGCACCAAGACCTCTGGATGATCTTTTCAAAGTTGTTAGTAAATGCGTCAATAAATACCGTATTGTCAGGCATTGGAAACGAGTCACAAAACCTCAGTGTATTGATAATCACATTGATCACAAGTGGATATCCATATATTAATAAACTTCCAAGTAGTAACATTTTGTTATCCAAATTAATGTTCTTTGCAAGGGGAAGGCATAAGGAGTTCAGTATATCTTCGAACATCGTCGACACATCCACCCCATGATCATTCAAATTCTTCACAAAACATGGGAAATTCTCTTCTAATACAGAGTTCAGTGTTAACATCAAACAGTCAAATTGAATACAATCAAGTGGGTATATTCCTAAATATAACATTCGTAATAGAAATGATTGACATATCAAATACGTTCTTTCAAAATCATAGACTTCTAATAATGTTGATACAAGGGGTTGCACAAAGGAAAGATCAACATAAAAGGTTTCGTATAATGTGTGCATAAAGTCGCATATTCTGTACTCTACATTTTCGTTTGCATTCTTGGATAATAAGCCATGACGCAATTTATCGGGCTTTTCACCATCTTTTATAAACAAATTGATTAATGTCGAAGTCAGAGAGTTGTCCCTTAAAAGCACTTCATAGCAGTTACTTGCGGTCGCCAGAAATGGGATACCTGATGTTGTTGGTATTCTCCCCCAATTGTTCTCTGTGTTTAGCAAAAATCGTTTTAAGTAGAAGACATGTTGAAGTTGTGGTGTTGGATCTTCCACGATTCGGGTGTGGATGAATTTCTGAAAGTCCTTTTCTCTTTTAGAAAGCACGAAAAGCAATTTAAAGTATCGAGCCCAAAAGTGTGATTCTTCTTGAAACACAGAGGGTACGAGTTGTAATAGAGCTAGATGTACATTCTCATATTTTGCGAGTACAAATGAAATGTGTTTCAGTTGTACTTTAGACAAGGGAGTAACACTCACTGGGTATTAGAGTAACACTTTAATACTATGGAAGTATATATGATATATATAATAGGAACTAAAATTAAAAGTAAACAAACTAAGCTCAAGAGGAGTTGGGTAAGGTTGTGAGTACACCATCTGTGCTTCAATTTTCTGAATAGTGTTGTCTAATTCTTGAAAATTAAGTAAGAATATGTGTGTCCGACTACTGAAGGGGTTAAGAAAGCGTTGGCTTTCCATAAAGCTTGAGTGAATTGTTTATCTTGTTTTCAAGGGAACAACAAAAAAGTGTCGAAGTTCTACAGTTTTCTCATTGCTTTATAATTAGGAGTCTAATACCATTATTTATTCCTTTATTTATACAATTATGTTATTCGAAATACTATACGACTACTTATAATAATTAATAAAACATAGTTTTAATTCTCATTCATTGAAACTTTGAATAAAAAATGAAATCCCCCTATTGGCGCAACACTAAACATAATTATTCAAAACCCTACTTCACACATGGAGGCGTAAATCAAGTAGAAGACAGCTCGGAGGAGGAGGAGGACACAGGCGATTTGCTTGATATGAAGGAGAAATTTGTAACTGACACCCACCGCCTTGCAATGCGAAACAGAAACAACTTGACCTTCACATTTCAAAAGAAGGCAGACCTTCGACTGATTGCGTCTCCGGACTTTGAAACAAAAAATGAAAAGGAAGAAGAAATGGAGCAACCAGTAAAGGCCACAACTGCCGACAAATACACTGAAATCAAATTTCCTGAGGCACCGAGTAAAGCCAGGTTTTCCATCTTGGATTTGTATAAAACCCCTGAGAAGGAAGTCATTGAAATAGAAGACGATAAAGAGGACGTTGACAATAACAATGAAACCAAAGAGATGGAAATTGAAATGCTTGGCGACCAACAGCCCACGTTTGAACAACAAATCAAAAAGCAACAAAAGATGATTGACGAAATCAACAAACAACTGAAGAAGAAGACTGAGATGGACAAGAAAATGCGGGCAGATGCCAAAAAGTTGAAAGTGATTCAACAAGACCAACAAGACGCTGCGATCAGGAAAAAAATATTTGCCGAGATCGACAAGCAAATAAACGAGCAAATGCAGAGGAAAAGCAAACCCACATTTGATAAGCCAAATCGGCAAGTCACTCCAATGGAACTTGAAACACCAAACATGGAAGATCCCAAACGTGAACTAGAAACAAAAAGTATTAATATCATCGACTCCAGTATCACCGAGACAAAAGAAATATCTTCACTCCCACAAGACGAGGGTGTTATTAATGTTGAAGATGGGTGCATGGACGCAACAGGTATGGAAGATGTACAGCCAATCTTGTTTAAAGAGTCTCGCGCAACACTCCCACTCTTTTCTGTGTCTGGGAGAAATGAAAGTGGCTTCACTATTAACTGTGAGACGACGAGCAAAGACACGGTGTCGGCACGTGGTAAACCAATACGAGAAAGCCCACACAATAAGTCGGAAAAGAAAGAGAAGAGATGTACCCAATTAAAGAAATTGAGTGATTACGAAGACTGCGTTATCAATGAAGACAACGACGAAATCAAGATCGAAGACGAGACCGTTATACCTCAAGAGAAAAGTGAAGGAGAAGACACAAAAGTGATGCAAGTGGAGAGAAAGGCGTCGGCCGATCCATTTGCGAAGAAATACACTGAGATACGCAAAAAGCAGATATTTCCTGCGTGTTACACATTGTTAAGCAAACGAGACGAGCAGTGGGTCTTCGAGAGGAATAACCAATTGAGTGGCGATGAGATGGCGACACATATTAAAAGAGATCCCAATCGAATGGGGATAATCGACTGTTCGTTGCGTGGGGTAGATGTTAAACAGACGTGGTCGAGTTTAATTAATGAGGAATCTGGGACTGGGCTGAGTTATGTCTATCCCCTTGGCGATGGTGTTTTCAGTGAGAATAAGTTCAAAGAAGAAGTTATCAAAACGTATAAAAAGGACGGGTTTGTTGATGTGTATGTAATGTACTTGAAAAAAAAGAATGTGTTGAGTGAGTGGATGGTCGTATGCCCGGGAACACGTAACGAAATGGCTGTTGGGTGTAAAAAGGCGAATATACCAAATAAGAAAATGCTTGTCTTATTACCAGTGCCGATGAAACTGGAAAAAGATGAATATTACGTTGTCTACAAAAACTACTTGAAGAGAAGGTCGGCGAACGACATAGTCGCGATTTATGTAAAGATGAAGTAAGTATTTTGATTGTTAATTTTGAGGTTTTGTTAAGTATAGATAGAAATTGAAATAATAAGTCATATTAAGTTATTTACTATTAAGTGACTCACTTTTACAACAACCAATCTTATTTCATATAATATATCATATAATAGAATTGCTAATAAAAATGTAATAGTTAATTAACTACAAAAAATAGGTTTTAATTTTATTAAGATATCTTTGTTATTAAGTCTAGTTAATAATAGTAAAAAAACTATTTTGATTTAACTTAACCACAAATTAACTATTTTAGTAAAAATACCGAAGTTTTAATTGTTGTTAATTTTTAAACAGAAGACGTAAATGATGGTAATTGAATTCAAAGAACGACGAAACTGTTGCAGATTTGTTCTTGATGTGTTTATTAATTTCATTCTGTGTGATAAATTGCATCATTTTTTAAAAATGCCTTCTTGTAAGTAAAATAACAAATTGGTAACAGCACCAGGTCCGTTTTTAGATATTTTGTTGTTTTGGGGGTGTTGAAAAAAACAGAAATAGGTATTGTTATTATCAAAAGTAGCTCTATTATATAGTTTTAAACTATATTATAATAGTAAAACCAAACAATAATTGTTTAGATTACTATTCATTAATTACCGAGCCTTTTTGGATAGAAAAGGCTATCATAAAATCACTCAAATATAACGGAAGTTTGAGCAAATCGAGGAAATGCCTACTTTCGTTGACGATTTTTGGAGTTTTTGAATTTTCAGTAACAAATGATAAACTAAAAAAACGATAAAAATGTGGGAAATGAACGTATTTTTCAGTTGATATTGAAAAGGCAAAAAAATTAATAAGTTTACTAATATCATTTCAACATAGGCATTCTATCATTATTTTTCTTTTTTCTTTGTAATAACCAAATTCAACAGATTGTATGTAATAATTTGGGCATTTCTAATCAACCTATAGATGGAATACAACAGTCTACATTTTGCCGTCGTAATAAAATACAACATAAAATCTATTTCTGAGCCAAAATTGGACTCTTCAAATTATGGCTGTCTTCACTGTGTCCCAAAAATGACTCCAAACACCTTCTTACATGTTATTAAACATAGGACACAATTATTATTACACTTTTGAAAAAAAATTACGCTATTATTTCGCACCTTTGAAAAGACAAAAGCGAGGGAATTTCAAAAGTGTTCTACTTAATGTGACGAAGGCAGGCAGAGGAGCTGTTGTAGTTTATCCTGCCTGGGTGGGTTAACTATATAACCCTCACAGATCATACAACACCAACACAATGGCGAGTCTTCTTCTTTTTGCATTCATTTTTGGAGTTCTTTCATTGAATTACAAAGCTACAAAAAAGCTTGACGACAATTGCAATTTGGCTTGTTTCTTATCAGGATTTAAAGTTAATGTTAACTTCAACGATACAGCTTGTGGCAGTGTACTTGGTTCCACGTTTTGCTTCAAGTCGTTATACATTGATGAAATATTATTGAAATCAATTGATGGCAAAGTGGACAATGTAGAGAACCCGCAATCATTTTCGGCCTCATTGACTCTTGAAAAAATTCATGCAATTGGAACATTAACTGGTTCTGATTTAAATACCGATATTGGAGTCGCTGACCTCACTTTACACGACGCTTCAATGAACTTTGGAATGAGTATGACTACCTTTAATTACAAAGGATATGATTTGGTCGATACTGTGAAATCTGACATGAAAGTCGACTTGAATTCCAATGAAATGGATATTGCGATAACATGTCCAACAGGCAATTTCTTGTGTAAATTATTGAAATTTGCAACCAATTTGGGGGATCTCGTCAGCTCCATTTTACAGAGTGTTTTGAATAAGGAAATACCAACACTTGAGCAAATGATTGATTCCAATTTGACTTCAATATTTAACCAAACGAATCATGAATACGTGATGGTGTATTTAGAAAGAATGGAGCCTACAATAATTCCAGTACCAAATGGAATGACCAATTTAACTGAAAGTTCCTTGTTTGATATGATCTCATGGGCTTCAACTTATTTGTTTGGAGGAAACAGTTCACTTGGGTTGAATAACTTGATAGACAGATTCACTAAGAACACAGGATCCTTTGTCGTTGGTTTTGGTGAACAAGACACATTTGCAGATCTTTCTGACACCATTCTAAATGTTCTTCAGTTTAATAATATCACCATCCCTGATATCAATGGCACCTTAGACTTTGGTCTTAAATTCTTGAATATCAGTGGGCTGAACACTTGGAATAAGATGGAGTTTTTTGAACCTTTAAGATACACAAAGAGTGAGACTAATGTCTCTATTTGTGAGTCACAACCTTATTGTGATCAACAACTGAAGATATCATCTGGCCTTCAAATGTTATCAATCAACGTTTCATTCACCATGAATGCTTCTGCTGACGGCGAAATGATCAACACATCTGGGAAGAAGCTTCACGAAGAAGGCAATTTGTATGTTTTAGTCACTGACAACTATTTAGAAGGACGTATCCAAGTCGCTATTCCCAATGGAAAGTTCGAAGAGTACTCTAACAATCAATGCACCAACATCACTTGTTTACTCGCTTTATTCCAAAATGGCACTGGAATTCCTTTATTGAGGGTGAACACTTCTTTGGATATTCTGAAGATGACTGCGGCATCTTCTTCAATAGAAGACGGAGTACAACATATAATTAATTCCGTTGCAGATGTCTTCATCAACAGATACAAACCAGTCATTCCAGCATTTTTAAATGGGTTAGTTAATGGTCTTGGTGGAGATGCAGTCAACTCGTTGTTGGAAGGTTATATAGGAAAGAGTTGTGATCAAGACCCTGATATGGCAGTCAAAGAGTACAACACAGCCGTTGTAGCAACTACTATTAGTGTCGCTTTTGTTCTTTCTTTGTTAATATGCTGCATAGCAATTTTGTTCTTAGTTGTGAAATGGAGAATGGCAAAGCAAGTTGATTCCGAAGAGAAGAGCACAGAGACTGCCGATCAAGAGAAAGTTTCTGAATGTGAAGAGAATGAGAAGACTAAGAAACCATTCTTGGAGAGACTTAAAGCATTCCCATTGTGGTTCTGTAAACAATGGACTCGAACAGACCCAGAAGGAGCTTCACTCTTCTTGGATTCGAGAGTAAATATAGTCATAAGAGTGGTGATCCCATTTGTCATCTTGTTAGGTATTGCACTCTTCTTAACTTCAAACACTGGCGTTGGAGCTACTGTAAATGCTTATATTTCAATAGGCAATGAGAACACTATTGTGTTGCCAGTCGCCGACTTTGGTTTGATGAATTCAGTCAAAGATATGTGGACTGCCAAAGTCTACCCACTTGCTATATTGATCATGTTATTCAGTGGTGTATGGCCATATGCAAAGCTTGCAGTTCTTTTATTCACGTTCTTCATGCCATCTAAAATAGTCCCGCCAAAGGTCAGAGGATACATTTTGTTAGTCTTAGATGCGTTAGGAAAATGGTCAATGCTCGATTCGTATGTCATGGTGTTGATGATTGTTGCATTCTACTTTAACATTCCACTTCCTATTCGACATGGAGATAATGTAGAAGACCCTGTTAAGATCAATTTGTATGTCGATGAATGTTATGGGTTCGTTACATTGTTGTTAGGCACCTTATTCTCACTAGTCCTCTCTCACGTCGTTGTTGGAGTTCACAACTTCTTACAACACAATCCAGAAGATAATAAAGGCAAAGAAGGCCTTTCATGGAAGCCATTGTTCATGTACACCAGATTCCTTGTTACCAAAATAGTCATTCCGGTGTTCTTGTTTATTACCTTTGTATTGGTGATGACTGGATTCTTCCTCACTTCATTCTCATTTGACTTTAATGGTCTTGCTGGCTGGGCACTAAAGATATTGGGACAATCACCAGAAAGAACCTTTTCAGTGGTCGACCTTGGAACACAACTTCCTGGTGCTGCGAAAGAGCCAAATAGCTTTGCTGTTAGAATTACACAAATTGTCTACTTCTTGACGATTGTTGCTATTCCAATACTCCACTTGGTCTCTCTCTTTGCACTTTGGTTCTTGCCATTACAGAGAAAGTTCCAAAGTTGGTTGTATCATGCATGTGAAGTGTTTTATGCGTGGTCTTGTATTGATGTCTTTGTGATCAGTGTAATTGCTGCGATTGTAGAATTGTCACAGTTCGCTTCGTTCATGGTGGAGCCCATGTGTGGTGCCAAAATCGATGCGCTTGGAATGAGCATTGATGAAATTGTAGCTAAATTCTTTGGTGAGGAACAACTCATTGAGGGACACGAGACTTGTTTTGAAGTCAAAGCTAATCTTGAGAGTGGATGTTGGTTACTCTTCGTTGCAGTTGTTTTGTATACTATAGTAACTATTGCTATGATGCAAATAGTTAAGCGAGCGTTAGCCAAGAGACTTCCAACACCAGAAGAGCTCGACAAAATGCATGAAAATTGCATTGAAATGAAAGAAGAAAACACAGACGTGCCAATTGCTTCTCCAGTGAATGTTGTTGGTGCTGATGGAACTCCAGATCAACACACTTTAGAACCAGTCGAACCAGAAACTGACAGTAACAAAGAAGAAGAAGTAATGAACGATAATATTAAAGAAGAAGATGTGCCACAAACTGTCACAAATGATGAGCAAGATGCTTAATTAAATGTAATTCAGACCATTTTTAGTATTTCTTTTCCATATTTATAACGACTTTGTGTTCTTAAAGAGTTTGTAGACTTCGATAATCAAGGAGAGTCAAATAAGGAGCAAATGAAGGTATAGTATGGTATGAGGAATTGTAAAACAACTTAACATCTAACTATTAAATACAATAGAAACACTAAAAAGTTGCCAAAAAACAAAGTTAAGTCCCTCAGTCGTTCAACATCGATCCTACTTACATCAACACGAGTTTTTACACTCCCCTCCACACCACTGGCACTGATTCTCGTCGCAAGACGTTTCGTTTCTTCCTTCACAAACTACATGTTAATCAATATGAATAAAATCAATGACATTCAACAAACTTCTCATAGTAACAACACCACACCTCAATTTAACATATGACGCACACTCGAGAAACATCTCGACTTTGGTTGTCGGGAAGAAGTCAGTAACTGTTCCATACAAATAAGGGACTGTTTCCACATCAGTCCTTACAGACCCTATCTTAATCCCCGCAGGAAGGGGGTGTGTAGACTTCACTTCATATTTCATGCAGTTCCACGGCAATGGAGAGAATGTCTGTCGCTGTATAGGCGTGTTCAGTTCCATCTCAAGTGCGAAATTAGTCGTCGATGGGTTGTTAATGTAGCACTTATACCCCGGCTGTGATCCAAACAGTGAATAAGACACAATGACAACACACACCAAAAAGATGACTTGCACCGATACAATCACTTTAAAGTTCAAGTGTAACATCCCTCGCATCACAATGCAGATCCCTCCAATCACAACAAACAGTGAAACATAAACCACCATCACTATAAGTACAATTGTTCCCATCACCATACTTACTGTTACTCCAATAGCAGCTAACATTAAAAAGAGGTACACTGATACAAAGTTGTTATGTCCAAAGTAGAGTATCATAGACCCCCCATTCCACTATATGTCATTCATCTGTGTTATAATGACGTAAGAGAGAACAAACCATAGAAATGAGCTCATCCCGAGTATTCCACAACGACAAATAAGAAAGGATAGTCGTGAACCAACAATACCCCCACATGAACGGAAATTCGGGTAATGAAAACACCACAAAAATTGAGAAAATGGTGAAGAAAATGGCAGCAAATAAAGTCACTATTGCTGGCCCAAATGAGAAGTTGAAGAACAACATCTTCCCTATCGACTTCTTCTTGTTCTCCTTTTCCTCGTCGAGCTTGTTTTGCACCTCCGACCGGAAGACTTCTACAAGCTCCATAACGTCTTGTGTCGACTTCGATAACTCTCTAAATTTATCATTGTTCGAGAGGGTTTCGGAGGATGCGTTGTTGTGAATAGCCTTAAGCGCCTCGACTAAGTGAGGGATGACTCCTATGACATCGACAGCAAGTTCTCCATTGTCGTCTTCTTGCACTAACTCGGGACACACCTTTTTCACCTCTTGTGCTATGAATCCCAAGTTCTCACAAGGCTTTCCAATATAATTGAAAGACGTGCCAGTTAACTGTAAAACAGTGTTAAGAGAATCGACAAGGGGTTTGATGTTCTCTTTCACTCTCGCGTCGGATCTTTGCAAAAATCCGTTCTCTGCCATGATCTGTCCCATCACATGGAGTCGTTTTAGATTCTCCGAAATAGTCTCCATCCGCATGAAATTGTCGGAGGTCAGTGGGACGACTTGTGTGTTTTCTGGCGACGCGATGTATTCCCACATTTGGTCTGTAGAATTGTGTTGTGTGTAAATATCGCCTTGAATATTTTGGTTGAGCTGATTGACTTGATTCATTTGATTGATTTGTGGGCTTTGCGGTGGTTGTAACGAAGAGATGTTTTGAGCGATTGGGACAACCGTATTAATTTGTTGTAAAGACGGGACTTGTTGTTGAGTACTTCCACTCTGTGGTGTTTCATTCTTGATCCCATCGAAGAAGTAGTTTTGGGTATTAACCTGAAAGCCATTATGTATCTCTGGCAGAGCGATTTCAGATGCATTTGCTGTATTTGGTTGTGATCCATTTGAATTGGTATGTGAATCTTGTTGTACACCAGTAGGGGAAGTAGAAGAGTGATCGATTGGGGATGATACATTAACAGATGATACGTTATTTGATGACATTGGGGAGTGATCTGATGGGAAAGAATTGAACGAGTCACTGTTCATAACATTATAATTGAGGGATGGGTCCATGACATAAGGAATTTGTTGCATTTGGACTTGTGGCATGAATGGAGAATTCATTTCAGTCATCTCAGTCATTTCCATGTTATCAGATATGTTCGGTGGAAGTTGTGGACTTTTGTCGGACAATTTCCCACGCGAAGTGTCCTCGACATACCTCACATACATCTCACATAACTTCATCGCATCCTTCCGCTCACTTTCTTTTATTCGTTTATATTGGTCTTTCTCGCCGTTCAAGTGACGCAAGTGTGCGTCCCAAGTGTGGCTGTAACAATTGTATCTGGAGATGAATTGAAGTGTTGAAGTTATTTTAATGGGTAAACAAACCGTGTTTTGGGTGGCTCTTTACATCCCGGGTAAGTACATATCCAGCATTTACGGCGTGGTTTCGCGTGCGACTCCATTCTGTTTAATTTTGCTTGTTGCCTGTTTATTCTTTTTTACTTCTTCCTATTTGACTCAATCCTCGACGAGAAAGGAATCATGGTTCCTTGTATGGTTCTTTTATTATATTTTTTTTCTATGTCGTTTGTATGGAGCAGCCCGACAGCCTACTTTGATTTTTCTTTTAGTGTATTTTTAGGTTGATTATAAGAATAACAAATTTATTAAATTGGTATAATTGTTTTAAAAAATAATAAATAATAAATAATATTAGATTGTTTAGTTTTATAGATATCAGAATAAAAAATAAAGGCTTTATGAAAATATGTACTCAAAAAAGTGGGGTTGTGATAAAATACTATAAATTGATATAAATATACTAACAATTATAACTTTTTTATTATGATAATAAAAATAATACAATAGTTATTAAATAATTGTGATGTTTAACTTTTGGGTTTATTCTCCCAAAAAATTTACTATTAATAAACCCTTTTTTTTATTTATTATTGTAAATGAAATAATTGTTAATTCATCATTACAGTAAAAATTCTATCGGTGTGTGGAGCCATGAAAATGGTTTTCCCAAGGTGTGTAATTTTTTTTTTCTTTTCTATTTTTATTTCTGGCAAAAAAATAAAAAATAATGAAATTTGTAAAACTATCCACAATCAAGAAAAATGACAAAATGTATTTTTTGTTTTTTTTGAAAAAAAAACATGACACGTGTAAACACAAAGAAAAATAATAATATTGTGAATTTTTTAAATTTGTCTAATTGTTTTGAATTAAAACAACGCATTGTGTGTGTGAAAAAACACACGGATTTTTAGTGCTTATTGGTTCTTGTCCACCTCCAACTCAAGTGCGTTTTTGACATCGGCCTCTATGCTGCATTGTCTTCTGTTGATAACCTTGAAGAAAACTATTTGTTCACTGTGTTATTACACAGTAGCAGAAGGTTTTAAAACAATATTGTCATTGTCATTGCTATGATTGAATTGTATTGTATTTTTTCCAGATCATCTTTTAATTACAATGGCTTTTGAACAAAAAAAGAAAGAAAAGGTATATCTTACTGTTCTTGAGAAGAAAAAAGTTTTTGAATGGCACGAAGAACAACCAGATATTTATGCAGTCGAAATGGTTAATGTGGTTTCAACAAAATTGAAAAGGAAAGTATCAACAGAAACAATAAAAAGAATTTTTAATTCAAAATTTGAAATAGACAGCGACAGAAAAGATAGAAAGGTGTTTAGGAGAGTTTTGCACCCGGCGTTGGAAGAAGAGATAATCTAATACTTGGATGAATTAGCAGATAACAACATTCCAATCAATTGTCAATTATTACGTTTAATGGCAATAGATTTCTGCAAAGAAAATGAAATAGAGGATTTCAAATGTTCAGCAGTGTGGCTTTCTAAACTATGTTTAAGAAGAGGAATTCATGTCGCCACAAGACATGGTGAAGCAAACTCTGTTGATATGAACAAGTATACAGCTGAGTTGGACCTTTTGAGACATGAAATCGAGTTGTTCAATCCAGAAGATGTATGGAATGCTGATGAAACAGCATTGTTTTACCGTTTAATGCCAAAAAGAACACTTGCAAAAAAGAGTATCAAGGTTCATGGAGTCAAAGAAGACAAAGAACGTTTGACAATGATGGTATGTTGTTCCTTGTCAGGTGAGAAGAAAAAACTTCTCTTTATTGGCAAACCAGAGACTCCACATTGGATAAGAAGAAATCCAGAACTAAAAGATTACTACTTTTCACAGAAAAGCGCGTGGATGACAACAAACCTGTTTCATAAATGGTTACTTCAATGGGACAAGGAACTTATCGAACTTGACAGTTTCATTTACTTGTTAGTAGACAACGCTCCTTCACATAAATTGTTGCTTTACTTGACTGAAAGAATGGAAGATGAAACGAACTATATATACATCGAGAAGAACGAAAAGAATCAGCACGTATACAAAGTCCGTTTGACCCATATTACAGTTCAATGGCTCCCTCCCAAAACCACATCAGAGTTTCAACCCTGCGATGCGGGTATCATCAACTCCTTTAAAACTTATTACAGAACACAACTGATGGTGAGATGTATTGAAAGTTGGAAAAAGGCAAAAACTGATGGAACTGTTTACACACCTCCCAAAATACAAATTGATGAAGCAATTAAAATTGCATTGAGTTGTTGGGAAAACAACGTGACAAAAAATACTATAACAAACTGTTGGGCACATGCTATGTTTAGGGATCCAACGGCAAGAAATTTTCTTCAAACGTTGTTTGAAAAAAGTCAAATACAACAAGATGAAGAATACCCATTAACCTATGATGTAAGAACAATTGCAATGTTTGAAGAAGTGCCACCATTGTTGACAGAAAGAGAACAAATGGGTGACGTGACACAAACCTTGACTCAAAAACAAGTTGAACTCCAACAACTTGTTGACCAGTTAAAAGATGTCGAGCAACAACTCCAAGATTTGCTCCAAACTAAACAAGAAATTAATTCGAAAGGAATCGAACTTATCGGTCAAGACTCCGATTTAGGGGCCAGTTTTTCTCAATTTTTTAATTGATTAGTTGGTCTTTTTATTGAATAACATTGTATGGCCGTAATGTATGGCTGTAGTGTATGGCCGTAATGTGTGGCCGTAATGTATGGCCGTATTGTTTGGTTACTGCTTTGGTTTCGTCAGAGTACTTTTGTTAAATACAAGATTAGTTTATATTATCAATTGATTTTTTTGGTTGAGATTAATCATAATTTATTATTAAAAATATTATTTTTTGTATTTTCATTTTCAAGTTAAGTTCTATATTTTGAGAGGAGCATTTTCTGCTTTTCTTCTTTTGTTATTTTTGACTTGATTTTTGTTTGACATTTTTTCCTTTTTTATATTTTATTACCAAGTCTTTACTCTTTTAAAAATTAAAACAAATTTGCAATCGACATTATTTTTGCGGGTTTTGGTCCCAAATATGTGGGAAATCATTATATTCTATCGGTGTGTAGGTCACTTTTGATTGGTCAAAACCACACACCGATAGAATTTCTACTGTAATTAAATTTAATTGATAATCAAAAAAACAAGAAGTTAAACAATTTCACAAAAAACTATTATAATGTATTTAATAATTATAATAATAAAACTATTATAATGTATTTAATAATTATAATAATAAAACTATTATAATGTATTTTAAACAAACTGATTTAAATTAATTAATAGAGTGTTTAAAAACTTTCACATAAGTTACAAGTTATGAATTTTGATTTTTAATCCATTTCCATGTTCATTTGTTTCCAAATATATTCAATAAAATAATAATTGTTTTATAAACTCTCTAATTATCAATTATAATTTCAATTCAATTCAATAACTTCTTTTATGCAAAAGTAAGCCATTTCGAGTAGTAAACCATATTTTATAATAAAATATTTATAAAGTATAGGTATAATTACCAATTTAAACAATTAAACTACATCAAAATAATTAATTTCACTATAATTAAAATTAATTAAGTTTTACTTTAAAAAATAATATTTGTATATGAAAACCACGAAGAACTTAAAAAACACTCGAATTGAGTTTCCGTTGAAATACTTTACAAATGAAGAACAAGAGAGTCTTTAATTAAACGAATTAAATGATGTATGAAAACACAAAACACCAATTTTGACAATGCAACGAATATTACAATGAACGAAACAAACACAAACTCAACAATTAAAGAAGACCAGACAGTTTTAAGTCCCACTGTGTGTGCATTTCTTTTAAAGATTTTGGGAAGTACATTCCCTTCAAATTCGGGCATTTATTAAGTGACAAATAGGTCATTGTTATATTTCCACTGGTATTAATTTTTGCAAGTTCTCGACAGTTGTATATCATCACGCGTTCAACATTAACCAAATCCAACTCTGTGAGTTGAGGACATGTGAAGCAAGCGAATGAATCTAATTTACATTCCTTTATACCAACAATCGAACTTAATGAATATAACTGATCGATTCGAACTTGTTTGACGCTCTTTGGTAAATGAATTGATTCGATTCTCCCGAGAGAGAAGAGGTCGATACTTGTGATATTCAATGTATTCAAATTGAGTAAATGGACAACACTCTTGCATTGGTATATTGAAAGTGTATGCACGGTATGTGGCAAGATATAATCAACACCATTTCTATGCTTCATATTTCGTATACTTAACACAAACACCCCATCTAAACCCTCAAAGGAAAACACATTATGTGATTCATTCTCTTTATATACCATATCAACGTTGCCATTCACCGCTACACTGAACGGGCCATACCATTGAATTATTTCGTTGATTTCACTGTTCATCGTATTTGGGTCCAAAACAAGTGCATTTCCTTTCGCGTGGAGGTAGACATGTTTCTTAATAATGTTACAGGGCAAATTGTTGTTGTTACAAAAGATGACGAATTGAGTCGTGACGTTGAACTTCTTTGTCAAATAGTCCCAGAGCTGAAATTGGTCGAAAGTCAGTTCTTGGAGGTAGAGGATGACTCTGAAATGGACATTTGCATATGAAGTGACCAACGTGTTCTGGTAGCTCTCCATAAACGTGTCTAAGAAGATAACAATCTCCTCCAATTTTTGATTTATCTTCTTTGGTGGGAGTGTTGTGAGTAAAAACTCGTCCGAACACTCAAACCGCTTTAAAGATGTCATCAGCGACAAATCGAGTGGTGGGTAATACTCGTAGAGTCCAATGCTTTTTCGATATGAAAGTGTCTTAATGTTATCTGCGTAGCAATAGATAAAAGCTAGCGAGTTCGCGTCGTTCTTTGCTTTTGCAGTGACACACAAGTCCATGTCGCCAAGCTTTCGTGTGATGTAATCCGATTCTTTCACAGAGAACATCCCTTCCTTGTTGATATTCGAAGTAGTCGTAGGAAACACGGAAGCATCACAATACAGTGTATGGAGCTTGGGAAAGAGACTGAAGAGTGTTATTAAGTCCTCAGACGTATAGTCCAATTTGAATGGTGATGAATACATGTCTTGACATGTCAAGTAACACTTTTTATTGATTTGAATCAACTTCTTGAGTGTCGACATCGTTTCAATGTAGAGTACCACATTCATCATGTACACACGTTCCAGCAAAGTCTTCATATTCACTTTGTTGTCTTGAATTCTCAAAGTTCCTTTTTATTGGTTTCTGATGGTAGATAACTTGTGTTCTTGTTATAATTTTATTTATTATTCATTTACTATTGTTCTTTTATTGTGTGACGCTTCTATGTTCCTTTAAAAACAAGCAAATATACGGGAATTACGTTCATCAAATGTACAATGTCAAATTTTTATACAATATTTATACAAAAATATCACTAAAATCAACTCTTTCCCTTTTACCCATAACATATCTCTTATTATTAAATTATAATATATATACTAGAAAATTACTAGAATAACATCACGAAGAAGTAATTAGACTTGTTGAAGCCTTAGAACTCAAAGTGGACCAGTGGGTGATCGTCCATCGCTTTCTTGACATCCGTCGAGACAACTTTGTTTCCTTGCAAACACATCTTTTCAAGAGACATGGTCTCTGGAAGAGAATTGTTAAGCCAGTCGACAATTTCGTCCTTAGTAACCGATTCCAACTTTCTTAATCTAATCACCAACAAGTGCTGGCTCATAGTCAACAACTCTGCAATTTTGTCCATATAACTTCCGACTGGATTTCCGTCCAAAGCCAACTTGACAATAGATGGGTGGTTTACAATCGCGTCGAAGATGGCGCCAATCTGCTCTGGTGGGAAATTCATACCGCAGATGTGCAAGTTCTTGAGTGTTTTATTGCCTCTTATCATCTCAGCAATGCACGCGTAATTCCCTTTTTTGAAGATTGAAGTGTTATACCCAATTTTCAATTTCGTCAACTTGGTTGTAGCAGAGACGTAGTTAATGACATAAGGAATAGACGTGTCGGAAATGTTGGTGTCGTCAATTCCAAGCTGAGAAATATAAGTGTTAGTCTTCTCATAAGCCAATAAGACTTCCAATATTTTCGACATATCTCCTTTAATTTTGGTGCCAGAAACGTCGATGGCATTCAAGTGGATAATTGGTCTGGCCATGATCTTCAAGAGCTTTTTAACGTCACCAACAGACAAATCGACGCTTGCAACTCCCAAATTAGTGATTGGAGGGAATTTAGCGATTTTGCCCTCTTCAGTGACATCGGCGATGTAATCAATAACACTTCCCATCCCTTCATTTCCACTCAAATGCAACTCTTTAAGGACTCTACTGTCGCACAACCCTTTCAATATCGAAAGGACAATATCCTTTGAAAGTTGGCAGTTTCTCACATCGAAGACTTGAAGCTTTTTCAGCTTTTGGACTAAATTGCAGAAGTTGGCTCCACCAGACGAGATGTCGTTGTTCTTCATAATGATCTGTTGCAGATTGGGGAACTCCATGATAGCACGGATGACGTTAGGTGAATCCTGTCTATTAATTCCAATCGATCGAATATCAAGTCTGAACAATGCGTTCTTATTAATTGGTCTCAAGATAGTCTGTAACACCGATCCAGTGATTTCTTTGTTGTCTGCAAGGCACAAATACTCAAGTGAGTTACACGCTCTGAACCCGTCAGACAACGACTTTGCTACTTCTTCGGTTAATCCGATGTTCCCAAGGTCAAGTCTTTTCAGCGCAATTGGTGATCTTAAAATGAGAGTTAAAGCCTCCCCAAATTCCTTTGTTTTTCCCAACTCGAAGTTGTCCGAGAGTGAAAGCTCTTGTGCGTTGAAAGTCTCTTGCACGTCTTTCCCACCTCTTGACTTGAATGTTCGATCAATCGATTGCGCAAATACTGTGAACTGTGTGATTGATAAATTGGTCGATGCAAAGTTGATGGAGGTGAGATTCGAGTTTTGTTTAATAGCCGTTAAAATGGCTGCCAACACACGCTTAGGTACAATCATATCGAGGTATGCGTCTGCCGCAGCGACCTGGACGTTTTCGTGGAAGTACGCAAGTCGATTCTTCAAGAAGACAATTTCGTTTCTTTTCACCGAAATATCAAAGATCTTGTCTGACAACGCAACATCGAGGCTTTGTGGTTTCTCCACATCTGGAGAAGTCTCTCCAGCCATATAGAAATAGCCCGATAACAATTGAACCAATTTGTCGACTCTTCCCGTTTTGATTTGGAGATTCTTCCCGTTCTTGAAGATGACAACAGCAGAGTCTCCCGTCGAATACACCGATTTAATATCGGCTATTGGGTAGAAATTGAGGTCTTCAATCAACTCGGAGAGGTATACAATGATACCGTCATAGACTATTCCAATATGTACCTTCTTCCCAGACAACACAGAGTCAAACAACGTTGCGCCAAAAGAGTGTGATCTTTGTGCCATTTGTATGAAGCTTTGTTTGAGTGTTGTGATGTTCGTTTGTCCTTTCAACTTCTCGTGGATGCTCATAGACGATCGCAGCATATTCTCCTTTCCGAAATTCTCAAGGACCAACGGGTTACAGAATTGCGTGATATCGATGAGCGAAGACTCTTGTTCCCTGTAATTGCCAAGTGTCATTTGAATAGCAACAGCAACAAGAGCGTTCGCAATTTTACGTTCGATGGGGAACCTCTCGTAAAACATTCGACTCTTCAAGCACTGGAAGATATAATCCGTATTCTTGTCATTACCCTTTTGGCTCGCATTGAATGGAGCAATCCATTGCATTCTAAACCCTAATATCGTCGAGTCATTGATCTTTTCTTGGAACAATGTCTTAGTGTTGTTGAAATACTTAATTGGGACTTTAGAGTCGTCCTTCAACTCGCAAAGGAAAAAGATGTTAAAGGTTAAGCCAAGTTTCGCCTTAAGTTGTTCAACAACTTCACCAACTTTAGAGGTGTCTTGAACATTGAGGTTAATGGTGTCCTTGTTCGCTAAGTAGATTTTCAAGTGAAGCGAAATGTTGTTACCAGTCTTTTCAACTTGCTGAAGTCCTTTGGACAAACTGCCCATGTCCTTCATGTCCTTGTCAAGGTCGTTGAGACCCACACGCAATTTCTTCTTCTTTTGGTTTGTCTTTCGGCGAATTACGATCTTGTCAAAATCTGCAATACTCATTCTCTGATTTTCAAGTTAAGGAGATCGTTTTTGAGTTCGATTCCGCCTTTTGGAGATTGGTGGTTTATAATTTTGAACTACTTTTTGTGATTATTATATTTGAGTAACTGAGTACTAAAATAATGGGAATATAAGCATTGATTTTTTGGGAAGTTGAAATAAGGAAAAAATGGTAGTAGTTTTTAATTTATTTTATTATTGTATATACTATAACACAAACAATTAATTGCCACAAATACGGGTGTTGCTATATAAAGAAAAACACAATTCAAGAAACACCAAAAATGTGTGAATATGACAAACTGTTGTTAGTTAGATGTTCTATTAACTTAAATACAATCCCATTATTTCATCTTCTCGTGTGTTAGAAGGGTCTTATGCAATAAATTGTACATCTTCAGAACTTTGGTCAGAGTCCAACAACTCGGAGTCAACAAAGTCAACATCGTCAAGAGTTGTCTTTCTTTGTGAATACAAGTCGTTCTCAATCTCGAGTTCGAGCTTCCCCATTGTCATTCCAGGACTGTACAAATAATAAGGAACCGTGTTTGCTAACATTGGCTTTACTTTTCTTTTGAATCTTCTTGAAGGCAACATGTTCATCCGCTGTAAATAGTCCCACCTCTTCCTTGCGACTTCGAGCATCACTCTCCGAGTTGGTCGTGTCGGTTTATTTGTTTTTTTCATTTTTCTTGGCTTTGTTGACTGCTTGTATGTCTTTTTCTCTTCAGGACTCTCCATGACTCCTCTTTGAATATCTGAAGAGTTGTCTACATTCTCCAATGCACCACAAGACTCCGAGACTGAAGGAGCTTCTTTTTCCGATTTTTTTTGTTCAGATAGACTCTGTTTCTTCTCGTCTGATTTTCGGATGACGACATTTGTCGAGCTCTGACTCTCACTTTGTCCGACAACTTGGTCTTGCTTATCCTTGAAATTTTCCCCGTTTTTGTTGTTACATTCCGCCACTTCAATCTTTTTGACAACTTGAAAGGTTTTTTGAGTTTTTCGTTCCGTTTCGCCAACAACTTGTTTCAAACGATTTACATGTTTGTCCAAATCCTTATTTTGTTGTGTGATTTTAGTACCAATTTTACCAAACAAAAACACGTTTCTTTTAATTGTGCCTGGAGGAAGTCTGCTCTTTGGTGGGTCTTTTTTGAATGACCCTTCCCTCATTTTTTTTCTTTTCAAATCAAAAGACTCCTTTCGTTTTGCATGAAAAATTGACTCTGAATTATTTATTAAAGAAGATGGGAGATTGGACGACGTTGTCGTGTTCAACATCGAATAACAACTCGTTGGAAATGAAAAATCCATTTTGTACTTTCATCGTTCCGTCTCGATGTAACTCTCACTCTTCACTTTCTTAATCTCTTTTTTTGTTTTATTAAAATAACGATAAAATTTAAAAGTTATATTATTTGAAAATTAAATATTTATTAAAATAATTATAGTTATTAATATATTATATTTAATGAATTAAAAATTATAATTGTTTGGTTTTTTTTTTTCCTTCAATAATAAAACTGCACTTTTTTCTCCATTTTTCTTGAAATTTATAAAAATTTGTTTTAAAAAAACAAAAGCAGATTTGTAAAAATTACTTCAAATACAGCATTTTTGCCATTTCGTTCCTCTTCACAATGAAATAACTATACACAAATTATACTTATAATAAAATTAGAATTAAGAAATAAAAATAGACGACCAAAGATTGGAAAAAGCGAAACGATTAGTGGTCAAGCGATTCTTTTCAGGAAAAGAACTCGAAAAGAGCTGAACTGTAAAGCCAAAGCACTTATTAATGGGGAACCAACTATCTGGTTTGAAGCAAGAAGATGTTGAGCAGATGATGCAGACGACCAATTTTAGTGAGAGTGAGTTACGAAGACTCTTCCGTCGGTTCAAAAAACTTGACACCAAGTCGAAGGAGGCCTCCACTGATGAGTACGACGACTTAGCCGAGTTGACTTCAAACCCTGTATTGAAGCGGTTGTTACAAATCTTCAACAAATACGACAACGAGGAGCTCCAGTTCTCACAGTTTGTCGCTACCCTTTCAACCCTCTCAGATAAAGGAAGCCAAGAGGCTAAACTCAGATTCGCGTTCCAGGTCTACGACGTCGATAGCGACGGTTTCATTTCCAACGGCGAACTCTTCCAGGTCCTCAAAATGATCATCGGAGGGTCGTTCACCGACGAACAACTCCAACAAGTTGTCGATAAAACTATCATCGAGGCTGATAAGGACAGAGACGGAAAGATTTCTTATGACGAGTTCTGCGGAATCATCTTGAAGAACTCCGAAAACATCGGAGAAAAACTCACTATCAATTGGCAGTGATTTTAGTGCTTGTTTTCTTTGGCATTTGGGTTGTACTATTCAGTTTAATTTTTATTCTAATACATATAATACAGTTTTAATGGATTCTTTCCGATATATTGGTTATATCGGAAAATAAACTGGTAGTTAGATTATAGTAAAATTACTAGTGTAATAGTTTTTTTTGTAATTTTTTTTTGTTTTAAAATGGGGTATTATTTGCGGCTTTTACCCGAAATAATGGCGTTTATTTTTTCTTATTTAAAATAATTAGTTTTATTATAAATTAGTTAATCATACAATATATATTATAATATAATTATAATAATAAACAAGTTAATAATATTATAAATGAAGCGTAATAATAACAATCAATAGTAATTGTCTTTAATAATACAAAACTAGTTATTAAATAGTATTTGAATGTTATTAGAACATAAATTAGAAATATCGAATAACTAGCATATATATTATAAGTGTTCATATAAAGAAACTTCTCTTCTTTCGACATGAATAAATCTTTGAGGAATGGGTGAGAAAGCAGAAGGTGTTTGTACCCCAACAAAAAGTTGGGATTTTTGTTGTGTTTTCTTTACGTGGATTCTTAAATGTTTTTTTGCATCACTCTTTCTTTTAAAAGAAAGAGAACAACCTGAAAAGGGGCATTTGAAAGGCTTTTCATCGGAATGGTAAGTCATATGAATATTTAAATCGGTCAAACGTGCAAATGTTTTTGTACAGACCGTACAGGAGTAAGGCTTTATACCACTGTGTACTCTCATATGAATTTCACATTCGGATTTCCTTAAGAAAGCTTTTCCACAAACATTGCAAAGGTGTTGTTTTAGTGTGGAGTGTCGATTTAAGTGCCTGTGGAGAGACTCTTGTGTGATATATGATTTGCCACAGTTTTCATAAGGACAGATGTAATTCCCTTTGATATCTTTCTTGCAAATGTACTTCTTGTAAATCATATTAACAGAATTCTCAATCTCTAATGACATACTCGACTTCTAGTTGGAGAGCCACCATTTTGTACAAAAAGAAGAGAGAGACATACGGGTATCTTCTTGATAATTCAAATTTGAATCCGTCTTGTTATTCAAATACATCTTTTGTGTGTAAATAATTCTATTTACTTTGGTTTGAAAATAATTGTTTTTAATTATACATGAAAAAAAAGAGACGATTAGATAATGTAACTATTTTTATAATTTTGGAATTTAATTATTTATTACAATTTGAATTTCTAATGTAATTATTTGATACAGTTACACAGTTTTTGTTTGCTTTTTGAAGAGCAAATTTTGTTTGTTTTACTAATTATTCAATTCAATGTTTTTTTTTTGATTTAAATAAAAATACAATAAAATTAAAATAAATTTATATACTATAAAATAATTTAAAAATAATGTCATTACATTAAATAAAATTTTGCCAACCACATGTATAATTAGTTTTTAATATTTTTATATATTATTAACATAGTTTCATTATTTAGTTTAATTTAGAAATTTGTTTTTTAAATTTGTTAAAACACAAAGGGATTAATTTTAACTAATAATAAAATATAGATTTATATTTTAAAAATGTTTTTGAAACAAACAAAATAATTAAATGCTGATAATAAAAATATGTTATTTAAATTTTTAACAAAAATACAATGACTAAATAAAAAATTTAATTTTAATTATTTTTTTTTGATAAATTAATTTATAATTGATTAATCAAAAATTTGATATAAGTTACAACCAACTATTAAAAAAAATCGGGAGGTTTAAAATCTTTGTTTTTATCTTCGTCATTTTTATCCTATTTTTACCATTTTTTTTATGTTTTTTAAGTTATTTTTCTACGAAAATTACAATTAAAAGTTGAATCAATTAAATAAAATTTCGATGATTTAATATTGAAAATACGTCCCCTCACAAAACCAAAAAATATTTTAAACTTCGCTGTATTGTATTTTTTAAAACTAGTATATTATATTATATAGTATATTTTACTTTTAAAAGTAGTACTATAATAAGAGTTACTAAATTGTGTCTTTGTGAACAAAAAGTGCCATATCAATTATTCCATTTATTTTTGGTTTTAAAGGAATATGAAAAGAAACAAAATGAATTAAAGAATCCAAATAATTATAGCAATGAAACCAATAATTATAGTAAATAACAATACTGATTGTTTTCGTTGGGCACCAACAAAAATACTTCAAAATGTTTCGGCAGAACCACACTAAATATACCAAACCAATTCAAAATGAAAAGAAACATTAGAAAACAAAACAATTAAAAAAAGTTGCATGAAACATAATTAAATCGAAAAAAATCACAATAAATCAAAATTGTTCGAACTATCAAAATCAGACTCAAGGTAATGCTTCTATTATTATTGTATTTCATCTATTTCACCTTTGCTCTTGCTACCGAGAGCCCAAGTGTGTGTATGGTTTGTACTTCAGTCAGAGTGAAGACGTCACATTAGTTCTTTGTTAAAATAAAGAACATCAATATTTGACACAAACTATACATATATATTATAATTATATTATAATTATAGTTTATACTAACACATAGAACCAATTTTTTATAGTCAATTTGGGACATTTAAAAGATATGTCTTCGATTGGTATCACTGTCTCTCCTGTGGACAGCTGCCTTTCCCAAATACCCAACGGCACTCTTCATTCACTGGGAGTCACTAAGAATGTTGAGTGTTACATTCATGAATCTTTTCTTGAGATTCAAAACGGGCCAAACGGTGTCTCGAGGTGTGGCGAGTGTTTAGAAATGACTGGTCCTTCGATAATCCCAACCCAATGTGTTGTCACAGGAACATTTAAAGTGACACAGAGTGATGGATTTACAGAAGATGATTTAAAGAAGATGATTCTAGTCCCCGAAAACTTGTTTACAATAGTCTCCACCCCAACACTTCAAAGTAACACACATTTTGCACAAGTAACATTGAGAGAGTCGGATTGTGACACAAACAAATACACAACAATTAAAGTTGTTGAAAAACACGAGTCTACTGTAACCATCACATTTCTTAATCAAATATTCCCAATCAAATCAGTGTTAATTAACGACGTTGAGTACTTCCACACAACTTTTGGAAGATTCAAAGTCCCTCTCATTAAAGAAAAAATTGTTATGAAAACGTTTACGTTTGATGGTCGAGTGGCTATATACGATAACATTAACTTAAACACTTTAGACTATGATAATCAATTCAACCAAATATCTGAAAACAAACGTGAAAGTTGTTTGTTTATTCCATCGAATAACGTCTATGTCAACAACTCCAATCGAGAGCTCAACTACTTCTTTAAATGGTCGTTCCATAAAGTAAACCCAGATCTTTCAATTATCAGTTTGAAAGAAACAGACGAGTCAATACACTTCACAGCAGACCAAATTAGAACAACTTTTGGTATTGGCTATCCAACAGTAATAAAGATGTACGTCCACTTCTCACAATTTTCGATGGATTTCGAAGTGAAAAATTGTTCAACACCGCCAACCTATGTTTTTGGCACAATTGGGTATGGAAGTCAATTTAAAAATGATATTAAAGATGCAGTTTTTGTATGTACTGGAGCTAATATTCAGCCTCTTGTAGTTACCACCAAAATAGGAGAAGGTAGTTATCGAATTCGACTCAAATTTGGAATACCAAAGACATGTTATGGATATCGTTTGTTTTTTCTATAATAGTATAATTATATAATAATAGAATTACTTATTATAGAATTAGAGTTATATAATTTTTATACCATTTTTATAGTTTATATACTAAATTCTAGTTAACTCAATTGGAATCACTTTTGCTAATGACATTGGTACCATCTATGACGTGAAACAAATTGATTTAATACCCAAAATGTCTTCTAAACAGGCTCTTTGTGGAATGGAGTCTTTTACTTGTGGAACATATGAATGCAATCCAGAAAATTTGACTGTCAATTCGTTCAAGCCTGGATGTGTTCCTAATTGTGGTTCATGTCGGAGTGGTTATGTGTGTTCAAATGGAAAGTGTATGACAGCGCCTTCAAATAACATTCGAGACTCGACAGACTCTATTTTCATATTCTTCTGTTATGCGATAATTCTATTTTTACTGTAATTACATTTTACTAGTCTATATAGATTAATGAATCATATTTAAACTATCTTTTGAATGTAAAAATTCATTTCAATTAACAGCAATTCATCATTTTTTGCTGTGGTTGGCTATTCTGTGTATTAACAGCAATTCGTTGTGTTGGTTTGGCAGCACTTTCTTCGTTTCTTTCTCCTTTGATAATAGCTTCGACCATCGTCATCACCATTTTTTTGACGTTGTCCGAATTAGCTGCCGACGTCTCTAAGAAGGGAATCCCAAGCTTCTCCGCAAGTTCTCTTCCTTCCTCGTATGAGACGACTCGTTGTTGTTCCAAGTCTGATTTGTTTCCAATTAACATTAAGTTGTATCCCTCGTCCGCATTTTCCTTCACATTTTTTGTCCAATATTCGATGTTTTTGAATGACTCTTTTGATGTTACGTCATAGATCATTGCTATTCCCATGACACCTCTATTATTCAGCCTTGAATAAACTAAGTTAATAGTTATTTTATACTATATATGTTCTATATAGAGTATCATACATTAGTATTGACTACACACTTCTATCGAATAGTAATTATAACTAATAAAATGAAACCATTCGTGTCACTAAGTAACAAACCGATAATAATTGGGCACGATTGTCCTAAATCGTTCTTGTCCCGCTGTGTCCCCTTAATATTAATTAATTCACTTTTAATAAATTAATCAATATCAAAATTAATTGAAAATGGTTTTTAATGGTACATTAAAAAGCGTGTAATACAATAACTGTACTATTGTATTAATTAGATGTAAATAAACAAACATATTTGTATAGTATACGGGTTTCCCTCACAATCTATTCGTTTTGTTCTAAAATCGATCCCAACCGTTGTCGTAATATTCTCCGAAAATTTGTTTTCTGAATATCGAAGTAAAAGACACGTTTTTCCAACTCCTACACGTCACTCTTTTATTCGTTGTTTTTACCCACTTGTAAACAAACCACTTTCGCCGACCAACACCATCTTTATTATCGATTCACGCTTAAAAGTAGAGGTTTGCTGCATTACACTGTTTCTATTTTTTAGTTCTTTTCACAGTTCCTTTGTGAGTGTTTCAAGATGAGTTATTGATTACGAGTATTTTGTGTGTTATTACGGGATTATAATGCTTGTTTAGAAGACAATAATTTAAAAGACGATGTTATGAGAAATCTTTTGTTTAATAATATTTTTTATTATTTATAATTAGTATTATGTTTTTAATATTAGCTTTCTAATATACCAAGAAATATGTTTCTCTTCCTTGTTTGTGATACTCGATTTTTATTTAACTATTCGTGTTGATACTATTTCTTATTTAATATTATTAATTTTTTTAATTTTGGTTATAACTAATTCCTCAAAAAATAAAACTCTATCAATAGATATTGTTACTATCAATCAATATCCCAATAAGTTTTTCATTATCGAAAACCTCAAACTCAAATATGGTTTTAATAAATTTCAAGTTTGTACATGTGAAACTAAAAGAAAACTATAAATAAAACTATAAAACAATCATTCAATTAACACCCCTATCTGGTCTATTGATCATGAACACATGAACTGAGTCACTCGATTGCACCCCATCAAGATTATGTGGTGTGATAAAAATGTACTGCCTCCTGTCGTTAAATGTCGCGGTCTCCATCAAAGCATTTATAGCAACTTTCCTTGTCACTGAGTCGAGGAATACATCAAATTCATCCATTGCTCTAAATGGACAATCAACGACATTCCACAGGGAAAGCAACAGACAGACAGTTGAGAAACTCTTCTCCCCACCAGACAAAGTCTTTGCGTCTCGCTCTCTCTCATTGTCCATTGATACTTCGATGTCTAGAATTCGTCTTGTGTGGTCGAGCCTGATCTTCCCTTTACAATTCGGTTTCTTCTTTAAGTAACTGTCAAACATTTCCATCGTCTTCTTCGACGTCACCCGCAACAAATCTTTGTACTTTCCTTTTCTCTTCTCAAGCTCGTCTTTCAAAATGTCTGACAAATTAGTAACACTTGTCAATTGTTCCCCAACATTCTCAAGTTGCTCTTTCTTCTTTTGATATTCTCTCTCGACGGCTTCGTAGTCGATATTCTCCGAACTAATTCTCTCCTTCCGTTTCTCCAGTTTCTTCTTCTCCAGAACTATTGTTTCAACCTTCCGAGTTGTCTGAACCATTTCAAATTTAATTGCTTCGTTTTTGATATTATCATGTTTCTGCATCTCAGCAACCAAATCTTCAGTTTTGCTCTGTAAAATTTCTCGAATGTCTTTCTTCTTCGTTTCAACCCCATCAGCCTGTGCTTTGGTTTCCTCCATTTGCTTTCTGACTTCTTCAAATGTTCTTCGACGCTCCGCTAGATCGTTCTCCGCTTGTGTCTTCTCTCCACAGACATTCTGGTAACTTTCTTTCGTCTCCTCCAATCTCTTTTGGAGTACATCAAACTCTTCTTTCTTCTTCTCGCGCTCCTTCTCTATTTCTTCCGACTTTGCTATCGACACTTTAAGAGACGCTTCAAGCTCTTCGACACTCTCAGGCTCTTTTATCGCTATATTCTCCGCTTCTTTCTTGCGACTCTCCGCATTCCGCGTCTCGCGTTCGACAACGCGGAGTTGCGCACGGAGCTCGTTGATTTGTTTCCCCCAATTGTATTTGTCGTCATCCGCTTGTTTCCTTAATTCTTCTTTACCTTTCAATTCAACACTCAAGTTTCTCACGCGCAAATCCAACGCTTTCAATGCATCGTCGATGTTCTGCCCTCCATAAATCGTTCGTGGGGGTATCCGATACGGGAAAAAACCCTCTGTCTTATGCACCTTCATAACATTAGCCCCATTTTGCAAATAAATTGAAGTCGCGCCTCTCTCCACCAACGCTTTCGCATCTTTCCGTGTTTCTGCAACAGCAATTTGTTCAACATGAATGTGGTCGACTAAGATATTATACACGACATTCTCTTGGACGTCAATCACACTTGAAATGGTCTCATAGTTCGGTCGCTCACATCTATATCTGTCATCGCCATATTTAATGTCATACACAAAGACCTGAACATCAAATCCAATCGACGACGCTACCTCGCGCAACTTCCTCTTATCATTTTCACTCCGGACAATAAAAGAAGCCAACGTTGATCTCTTGATACAACTCTCTATCGCCAAATTCCATTTGTTATCCTTCAATTTGACATACGACCCGATTGGCCCATATGTGGGGTATTCAAAATTCGTTTTCGCAATTTTATTGATGAACAGTGTCATGTCTCGATGATATATCGACATCGCATCTTTCTTCTGATTCTCTAACTTCCCCCTCTCACTATGTTGGTTGGCTATCTCCCCTCGCATCTCTCGAATTTCATCGTCGTATCCTCTCACCGCTTGTTGTTTCACTTGCATTTCCTTTTCAAGCGGTTTCAGTTGCTCCTTTAACTCTTCTTCTTTCTTTTTGCCTTGTTCAACTTCGCTCATTGCGGCTTTAATTTTCTCCTCTTTCTCAATTCGTTCATTCTCCGTGTCACGTGCATCGTGTTTTCTTGCTTCTTCTATGTTATCGCGAATCAGTTTAACTCGTCGTTTCGAACTCTCAACTCGTTTTTCGACATCTTCCACTTCCAATTTGAATGTTTTGGTGTTCCGGTCCGCCGTCTTCATTTTGTCACTCTCCACATTTTTTCTTTTCTCCAAGTTCATAACCACATCCCTCGCTTTGTTCAAATCATCACTCAATTTCCCACTGATTGTATTTATCTCCTCAAGTCTTCGATTAAAATCATTTAAGTTCATGTCATCGAGTTTCTTCTGAAATTCATCGATTTCCTTTTGAATGGAGTTAACTTTGTTCTGCTGGTCTCTCTCGAGCGCCCACTTCTCCTCCGCTTCCAACGCTTTAATTCTTTCTTTGATTGCTTTAACGCCTTCTCCATCTTTCAAAATCGCTTCAAGGCGGAGCGTTTCCTTTTCCATCGTCTCGACCTGTTCTTTCTTTGCAATTTCATTCTTCTTTGCCTTCTCGCACAACTCTCCAGCCAACGTGTATTGGTCTCGTATATTTTCTAATTGCGTTGCTTGCAAGAAGAATTTGTATTTGTCCTCTGCCCGTGTCGCTGTCAAAAATGTTTTTGAAGTGTCTTGCATTAATAGCACACATGGGTTGTCTATTGGGATATTAAAATGGTCGATGATTTCATTCAAATCAGACATCTTTCTTCCTATGAGCTTTGGTGCCTCTCCCGCTCTCACCGCCATGATTTTATATGAGCTTTGTCCTTCTCGACATATCTTTTTCTCGACTATGATCGATTCCCCATACACACTTTGATCCAAACATCCATCCCCACGATTTCTTAAATACACAGTGATGATGCACTGACTCTCCCCCGTCTTTATCACATCACACGCCCGTTTCCCTCGATTTGTGAAATTCGCCTTTGCTCCAAGACACAGCGCAAGTGCGACAAGTATAGCGCTCTTCCCGCTCCCGTTCTCTCCAACAATGAAATTGACTTGCGAGCACAAATCAACTACCAAATGCTTGTGGCACATAAAGTTGATCAACTCAATCTTCTCAATCGTCCCACAGACTTCATTACTCGCATTCGTCGTTTGCATATCTCTTTTTTAGTTAACTTCTCTTTTTTCTTTGAGGATTCGTTCTAATCTTAGTTACTATAACTTGTATTATATTTTAAATTTTATTATACTATACATTTTCTTTTTTTTAACTAGTTTTTATAATATATATTTACTATTTATTTTAGTACAATTATTTTGGTATATTCATCTTTGGTATGATTAATAATTGTACTATAAAATATAATAACACAAATTATTCTTAAAACTAGTCAGTCAACATTCACAATAGAGAGCTTTTCATCACAAGAATTCACTCTTTTGACGAAAGAGCTGGTTGGTTTGGGTTTGCAATTGGCATCTTTCTTTTCTTCTTATCTCCTTCTTTCTCGACAGTAACCTCTTCCTGAATAACAACTGGCTTTTTCTTCGTCTTGAACCCCATCTTGATTTTACACTCCATCTTTTTCTCTGGCTTTTCTCTCACTACCATCTCTCCAACATCTCTCTCCTCTATCCCTTTCATCTTGACTTGTTTCACCATCTCGTCGAAGATCCGTTTGCCTTCATCGACTTCTTCTTCCTTTTCCTCCTCCTCACTCTCTTCTTCTTCTTTGTACTTAATAAACGTCCCCTCAGCACGTTCCTCTAACTCAACTAGTTCTCTCTCCGCCAATGCATGTACAAACCCCGATAAATTATTCCATTGCGTCGAGTTCATGTGGACATTTGTTCTGTCTTGAATGTACTGATTATAAACCACATTGGAATTGACCCATTTCCTTCTGTACTGCGTCTGTACTATCCTCATATACCCATTCAAAAACTGAGTGTTGAAGTCTTTGTTGTATTTATTGGGGTCTTCAGAATACAACGCCATGTTCCGTCGATGCGTCTCGGACTGACAATGATTCTTAAACCCATTCTCATCGTGACATTGCTTTTTACACATCTCACAGTAATACTTCGTCTTCTGAAGTCGGCCATCCTTCGGCGCTCGTGGGGCTTGGCCGCGCTTCATTGATTTTACTATTTTAGTTTAGTTTCTTTTTAATAGTTATTTTTATTAATTGTATTACAATAGTATTAACTAATAATAACTCGTAAATTTTTAACGGCAAAATTGAATTAAATATTATCAAAAAACAATTCGTTAAATTAAAATCAAATGTTATGAGTGAATAAAAGTATTTCACTTTTTCACATTTTTAAAAAGAAGATTGATTCTACAATTTTGTTTTCATATTTTTTGGAAAATTTATAAAAAACGAGCTATTATTTGTTGTGAGTAATTTTTATTATTTGTGTTTTTGTCATTGTTTTATTTTCAACAATTCAAATAAATTATTATTTAACATTGTTATCATATAATTAACTATTTTGCATTTGTTCCAATAAATTATTTTTATTCATTTGTTATTATAATATATATTATAATAATGACAGTTGAATAATTTCAATCTAGTTTATAAAAAAAAAATAAAACACTTGTTGTTGTTTCGAATAAGTTTTTCCACCTCCTCTAGTTTAAAATTTAATTTGTTTATTAACTAAAAAATTATAATAAACATATTATTTAAAAATTAAATAACCGTTTTTATTATTAGTTGTTTTTCTCTTAATAAATATAACCAAATTACACCAAATATACATAAAAAGATGTTAAAAAAATACCAAAAAGACTAAAATGCGAAAACTTAAAAAAAGAACATTCCAACCTAAAAGAACTTTAAAAAAAAACAGAAAAATCATATTTTTGAAACTTCGATGAAGATGTTGTTGTTTGTGTTATTGGGATTTATCCTTTCTGTCTCCTCAATGAGCGCCGATGAGGAGGCGGAGTTACTTTTCGATGAATTTGACGATGATGATTTGGATAACGCCGAGGAAGGAGACATCGACGACGATGATGATTTTGATTTCGACGACGAGGAGTTTGATGACGAGGGAGACGATGATGATTTCGAAGAGGGCGATTTGTATGAAGAAGAGGAAGACAACGAGGATGAAGAAGATGATGAAGAGGAGTACGAACTTACACAAGAATGGGCAGAACAAGCTAAGACTGAGACAAACCCGTTTGACCAGATTGAGTCAGCAGAGCGTTTACTCGCGGAGTTGGCCAACCATCCATACCACGGTATGTACACTCCAAATTAATTGTCTTTCCGTTTTGTGTTGTTCCCTTTTGTAACCAACCTCAACAAATAACAAATAATCATTTCGACCACGAGAGCGCAACAACATAGGCTGGCTTGAATGACTTTCCTTCAACCACTGTTGTTTGGCACTCGTAACTCTTCTCAAAGCCTTCAATAACTTTGCACTCCTTCTTTTTGAAAACAAAGAAGTTTGGTACCGAGAACAAGTAATCTTTGGACTTCTCGTTATAGACACCAAACACTTCTTGATTTTTCCCATTTTTCAGGTCGAACCTTTTTTTCTCGAACTTTGAGTTTAGTAGCGTGAAAATGAAGTGTTTTGCATCGCCAGTGATTGCGGTGTAATTCGAATCTTTTTTTGCGGCACTTGTTGGTGGTTTTGGAATGCGTTTCGAACAAAACGCACCAAACACCTCATTCTTCTTTGTCCCAACAATCACCATCACGTTCTTCTTTCCAATAATGCCGTTATTGAAATCGGAGATATCCGCTCTGTCCATAATGTTGGAGAAAAATACAACCTTTGGGCGCGTGAGTCCGCTCCATTCCGACAAATGTTTGTAAAAACCTCCGATATTCTCATACATGTTCAAATCGGAAATAATTTTTTCGGACTCTTTCTCGTCTGGGGGTTCTGCTGCCGATTCTGGAGAATCGGGGACGTCGATTGAGAGGTCTTGTCGTGGTGGAGAAAGTTGGATATTTTTACCAAGGCTCAGTCTCATTCTACCCGAACGCGTATCGAGTTTTGGAACATTTTTGTTCTCGTTTTTTATCTGGTCGATCTCTTGACGCATTGATTTGAGCTGTTCGATTTCGTTTGACAAGTTTGCCTGTGCCGTTCTAAGCGTCACAATTTCTACATCCTTCTTTTCCATTTCTTGTGACAGTTTCATATTGAATGCCTCCGTTGAATGAGAGTCAACAGAAAATGAACGAGACTTTGGAGCCACCGTAATTTCTTCAAGTTTTGTAGGCGACCCGGACGTTGTACTGTTTCGGTTATCTTGTTCACTTTTGATAAGTGTGATAGTATCCTTGAGATCTTTCAACTCTTTTTTAACATCGTTTAGTTCGCCTCTTTGTTTTTCAAACTCAATTTTTGTTTCATCTTTTCTTTCGATTTCCACGCTTAAATCTTGTGTAGTTCCACCAGTGTTCTCATTTTGTCTTTCAAGATTTTTTTCTTCAACTTTTTGTGCATGAGAGCTCTTTAAAGTACTGATGTCCTTTTTCAATTCCTCAATATCCTTTTTAATTTCAATAACTTTTCCATTGAGTGACACAATTGTTTGTCTTAAGACTGGAATGGCAGTGGAATTAGTTTTGTTCAAAGTTTCCACAAAGGACTGCAATAAGTCATCGTGTTCCTTCACTTTCTTGATAGTAATTCTAATTGCGTCATCAGTAATTATATCTGGAGATCGTTTTTGTCTTGGGGAAAGTTGAAGTAACTCGTCCTTGTTGAGTTGTCTGACTTGTTTCTGAATAGTAAACATCATGTCCTCATTCGTTTTGTTCGACTTTTCAACATTCTGCACCTTTTTTACAACTTCGGCAACGATTGTTTCGTTTTTGCTCGACTGGTCGTCGTTGTCTTTGAGTTTCTGTTGGATCAGCCGCAAAATCTTCTCAATCTTCTCAAGTCGCTCTTCACTCATCACTTTGTCAATTACAGTTTTTTCACAAACATGCTTGAAATTCTTTGTGTAAATTTTGGTGTTTATTGTAAAGATAAGTGTATTTGGGATATTTCCCGATTTTTACTGTTTTTTGATATTTAGTTATTCATTTCTACCTCCCCAAAACAAGAAAAATCCATTTTTTCATTTTGACCAGTGTTTTATTATAGTTTATTTTTAATACCATACTTTAAAAATAGTTTTAACATTTCTTCATTTTTTAATTGTTTAACAACAATTTTAACAATAATAAACAATTTGTGTATTTTGCTTATGAGGTGGACACGAAAAAAATGATTTGTTCTATTTCAATTAAACAAACACGACTTGAATTATACACTTGAGTTAATTTATTATAATCAGATGAGATTGAATACGGTGGAATAAACAGCATTGAAAGGTTGATACAGTTTGGTGTTCTTTGAATTCATAAATCCAAAAAATCAAAAATTCAGTCGATCTCCGAACTCTGAATTTGTAAAATTAACGGACTATTTTCTATTTCAACTCTATGCACATAAACCCTCATAGCAACATCCCCTTCACTTTCTCCTTTGACTATAACACTGATTTTTCCAATTTCCGTTTTGTCGAAATAAGCCGACGCCTCGCCCCCATCCCCGCATGTGTCATCAGAAATGTCATGTGCCATTTCCTCGAAAAAGTCAACACAGCCAGGAAGTATATGACTGACAGGTACAAAAGTTATAGTAATATCACTAGTTATTGATGGATTTTCATACACGTCTTTGAGGATGATTTCCACGGGAATTGACGACTTCAATGGGATATAATTGGTTTGACTTTGGATATAACAAAACGAAGGACATGGAGGAGAGACGACACAGAGTTCATCAGATACCTCTTTAATGATTTTGTCTATATCAATCAAATGCTTTTTCCCATCCCGCAATTTCCCAAGTTTTTCCTCTAAAATTATATCGACTTTTTTGCTGATGGTTTTCATTTGATTTTCGGTTTGTTGTTGCTGATAATAATATAATGAGTCATATATTAACGTCGCACTCCTCACAACGCGTGACAAATTGAAAAGTCGTTTTGTTATATTAAACCGCTCTGACGTGTAAAATTTCGACAAAAAGTGTGAGTACTTACACACTATGTGTCCCGCATGTTCCAAAACGAAACAGTGTGGACATATTATTTCGGAACATGTACAACAAAAATAGGTTTTTACTGTATGATGTTTAATACAAAATTTTCCCTCACAAAAGACCTCAAATTTATGTGAATTTTGTTCGTAATGTATTTCAGTATGGGACTCACAATAGATTTTGGAACACGTTAAACAAAACGAAAACCCTTGACGAGTGCAATTGGGCTCACTACATATCGTTTTGGAAGCGCTCTCTCTTATTAAACTAAAAAGGGTGGGAAGATCATCTAAATCAGAAAAAGGTACTGAAACCTCTTTTTGACATAAACAACAAAACACTTCTTTTGACTTTCCTACTCCTTTCTCGACTTGACTTTTCACTATAGAAAATAAACAATCCCGACATATTAAGTGCATACACGGTAAAAGCTTGGGAAACGCTGGAATCCGAAACCCCGTCCCACAACAACAGCAAACCGCTTTTTCGGTTTGAAAACTCATCACTTTTGTCAGTCTTTTACAGTTGACATGAAAAAACCTAATTACTTTGAAATTGGGAATCAATAACATTTTTATTGAAATTTTTTGTTTTTTCATTTTTTTGTTATTAGTGATTCATTTAACTAAAAACAAATTATAATAAAACTACTTTATTATAAATTTTCTTGTAAATTCACAATAATTTAATCACAAATTATTTTAGAGCAAATACCTTTCAAATCCAGTAAAAAATTCTTATGAAAAAAAACAAAAAAAGAGTTGACCAGAATAATGTATGACAATTTGACCAATCACTTTTTCAAAAAAAGTGGAAGATTAATAATAATCCGATTTCATAGACAATATGATTAATAGTTATAAACATCATATACTTTCTTTCTTTTTAAATTTCCTTAAAAAACGGGAGATTTCCCACTACAATTATTGACGACAAAAAGAGGCAACTGTTTATTATAACTATTTGAACTTCAAACCATGTTCCCGTCTTTTATTGGACAAAACACAGCATATTTCCTCTAAGAAAAATAAGAAGAAGAACACCTCTTTCTTGTTTTCAATCAAGAATTTAGAGGGAAACCCTTCAGAAAAACTGGGAACTCACACAACACGCAGAAAAACACAATGAAGAAGCGATCGATGCCTTTGAGCACTTTATTGGACAATGCGGTGGCTGACAATAACCCTTCCCCCAACTATAAGCTCTATAGAAAAATATCACACGTAGCAAAAAAAAACGAGCAGGTCTGTTTAGTCCTTCGCTTGCAGTTGTTAAACAAATTAAGATCACACCCCTTTCGATTTATTCCGTCCTTGGAAGTCTATTACTGTGTATGTCTGATGGAATACCTGATCATTAAAATGAAGTCCTTTCTGTGTTATATCACCGACGAAGAGTTCGTTAAAGCTCTTGACAAGATGGCACAGTTCAATGTTTGTCCATTTTTTGGTATTGAAAATGTTTTTCGAATATCAGTTGTAAAAATGTTATTTATACTGTTATTCGATGAACTATAATTTTATAATTCTAAAATACTATAATTGGACGAATCACAATTACGTGTAGAAACTAGTGGGACTGTTCAAATCAAAGCCAACACTGACACAACTCAAAGTGATGAACTTCATTCAACTTGTCATCGAATATGAAGACACGGAACTGTACAAAGAACTCTTCGAACAATATAAAGCAAAGGGCGTCCAATTTCCACCACTTGTAGAACCTGAGTATGAGGACGATTCAACGAAGACTTCACTCTGTCAAACGCCATCAGTGCAAATAGATGAAGACGACATGAAGAATATGTCGAACTTTGTTGTCCCCAAATTTGAGCTAAAAGAGCGGCAACATACATTTAGAAGTGAACTTCCAAAACCGCCAGTTATAGCACAAACGGATCACGAATTGTTCAGTCCATTGCCTGAGGACTTTAGAAAACTTTTACAGAAGATGGCGGAGTTCCACGAATTGTGTAAAGAGCCGTTGAAGAAGAGCAATTTACTCCGAAACGGCTCATTACAAATTCGACACCAATTGCAGTGCGACGAGTCGTTCTTCCAAAAGGCTTTGGACATCCAAAAAGAGTTCAAAAGGCAGTTCAATGAGTATTCCAATTTAGAGGACTGCGACGACGAAATAGTTGCTGCCCTTACAGAAGAAGGTAGAAAGATAGGACACATCGTTAGAGTCTTCAAGAACGAAATTTCACGAGTCAAAAAGCTTGAAACAAAAATCGAGAGTGGCGTCGGAGAAGTCGTTCTCGCGGAAGTCCCGTCATACGATGTCGACGCGATGATGACAGCAACGGTGACATATCCGAAGACACATGGAGATGCAGTCAAGATTATGGATATGATGAGTCACACAAAAGGAAATACACTGAGTCGAGATGATTCAGTCACAGAGAGCGCAACAGAGTCGACGAGTAACTCGGCTACACCTTCAGGAATAAAACATAACGGTACTAAAAAGTATATCCCACCACTCGCTCAAAGCTTTAATGGACCACAAGCAAGACCTATGATGTTTAAAAGCTTTAAAGGGTTACCAAAAAACACACAGAGCGTCGATACAAGTAGACTATATACAGGATACTTATAATGTTAATTGTTTAAGGTTTTGTGGTATATGAGTTAATAACTATTGATAAATAGTATCATAACTATTCATCGTTGTTAGATATATTAGTTATATATCTAATAATATCTAATACATGTTTCGTAATTTGATTTTTGGTTTTTATTACTATTAGTATAGTATATATATAATGGTTATTTTATTAATAAAAAATAATATACAATAAATCAAGAGTTTGACATTTGGTGGTGTAAAATGTGAAGTGGCAAATTATACTTTTTGGTGGTATAAAAAAACTATTTGAGTCAAAAGTATAATTACAATGGTATTTTTATAAAAAAAATAGTTAATATTTTTATTATAATAGATAATGGTATAATAATCGTAAATAAAAAACTATCCAACTTGAAAATAACACTTAATACTTTACTTCGTCTTTTTTATTCCAATAATTAAATCACAATGGTAATTAGTAATAAAAAGATTAGTAAAACGGGAGATTACATAAAGAGTGACAATGCAAGAATTAAACCACTCAAAAGTGATAAACGAGATTGAAGTGGAACTCGTTTGAACTCTCAAATCAGAAGCGGAGTTTGTTAACTTAATGCTAAACACGATGAAATGAATCAAACTAACACACAGAAATGGCGCAATCAGTGATTTTGAAGATTCACTTTAACTTTAAGGACAATGCGTCCCCAACAGCTACTATCGACTTGGTGAAGTCTGTCGCTGTCTTAGACACGGACTCGTCTGCCCAAATTGTGGACAAGTGTCTTGACAAGCTCCCGGAACGGCCTCAAGGAGAGTACATTTTGTGGCAAGCGAAACGACACACGTTGTTCCTCCCAAACCAAATTTTGGCGACCGCGGGGTACGACGCTACGGAAGTCTTGGACGTCAGACCCAGAGTTCAGCGATTCAGATTTGAAATGGTCGACCATGGTGTGAAAACATTCCAAGTTGATGTCACGATGACGGTGGAAGCTCTTTTGGCCTTTGTTGGAGAGAAGGTCGACATTATGTTTACTGATGAATATGGGTTCAAGGTCTACAATGAAGTCACTAAGAAGGAAGATCTTCATTGGCTGGACAATTTAAGAGTCTTTTACGAACAGATTGACTCAGAGAATCAACTGTTAATTCGGTTGAAAAAGAGATTCTACTTCAGAGATAAGAACGTTAACGACAGTGATCCAAAACAACTCCACTTGTTGTACACGGACTGTTCGAACAAAGTTGCGGAGGGATTTATTCCATTCAAAATGGAGTCTGTTATTCCACTTGTTGCGTTGAATTGTTTGGTCTTCTATGGCTCATTTGACCAGCCACAATTCAAAGAAATCGACACTTCCAACCTTAAAGGTCTTGACAAGAAATTGCCACAAGGTATGCGTGACTTCTTCCCAATTGCTTACCGAAAGAAAGTTACCACAAAGCACTTGGCCGAAGTGTGCAAGGAGTGGAAAAACAAGTCCATGTCGACAAAGCAATTGCAAGCGAAGTACCAGTACTGTCAAATAGTGATGCGACAGAAAACGTACGGACTTGACGTCTTTAAGGTGAAGATCAGAAAGGTCGGAAAGTCCAAAGAAATTCCAAAGATTTTTGGTGTGTGCAAGGACTATGTCTTGCTCGCAGATGAAGATGGTGAAAATCAAGAAATCTGGGAAATTTCGAAGATTGCGCGGTACGCTATCGGTCCGGCTGTCTTTATTCTTGATCTTGGTAACCACTCGACAAGTTATATCACTTTGATCACAGAAGAAGGTGAATTGATTTCTGCAACACTGTCTGGATACATCGATTTGATCACAAAGAGAAAGAAAGAGGCACAGTTGGCAGAAAAAGAAGCAGAGCCGGAGTACTCCATTTCGGATAAAATCGAAGACGTTCCTGCTGGTGATGGGTTGAATAAAAAGAAGAAGGTTGCGCCAAAAGTCACTCAAACGAGTGAACAAGCACAACAAGTTTCACAAAGCGAAGTTCAGGAACAGGTCCAGTTGTGTGTGGATAGATACCAACAAATGACTTTCGAAGAAAGTACAGCAGCTCCTATTCAATTCAGTGCAGAAACCATGACCGAGACTGCACAGAACATTGGTACACTTGTCTCCGATTTGTACTCGACAGATCAAGCCACAGTGACTCAATCAATGTCCGAATTGTGTTCGCAAACAGACGCTCTGTTCACACAATTTTGTGCTTCTAAAAACGCAGACTTTGGTTCGTGTGTGATGAACGCAGATGAAGACGATGAACAGCTTTTGGTCGCTTGTAGAGCTGCAACAGAGTCGGCACAGGCCATAATGGAAAATAACAAAGACGGGCTTCAAAGTGCTGTGTTGATCCAATCAGCACAGAGCGAGGCTGAAATTCTCCCTCCAGAGATGTTTGTCGTACAAGCTTCTGTTTCTTCAGTTAATGCAATTTGTGCTCAAGCCACTGTTAATGACAACGGATCACAGATGTTGCTCCACGAGTTGTCACGTTCTGTGGGCGAAGGTATTTTCGACTTGGCTGCGATGTCATCAACGATGAATATTCATGGAGAGAAACTTGACCAAGCCAATAAAGTACTCAGAATGCTTGGAGAAAATGAAATTGCTGCGATGAGACTTTTGGCAGTCACTTCCAGTGAAGAAGGGTGCCAGAAGATATTAGGAGAAATGAAGAACACTATGGACACATGTTTGGCGTCGTACTTGGAAGTAGTTCAAGGCTGTGGACTTGAACAAGGATCACCGGAGATGCAAGCCTTGTTTGAGCAAGTCAATGTCATTAAGATGAATTGGGAGTCTTTAATGGCTGGGACACAAATGAGTGGATTTGAGGCACAAAAGAACTTGTTGACAATGGTCCAAAATATGTCTGCTGTGTTCAATGAATTGGCTTCATTGAGTGATCCACTCGTATCTGCTCAACAAGTAGAACAAGGGATTGATAACTTGGAAGACATTTTGGAAACAACCAAAGAAACGTGCAAGACCATTGCACAAGAAAAGATCGATGACGGTAACCCCGAACAAGTCGCTGTTATCCTTGACCAATTCAAACAAGTTGCCGACAAATTCTTTGTTCTTCGTGATAAGTTGGAGGCTGGTGAAAGAGGCGAGTTAGTTGAAGATGATTGCATTGTATTCAGACAAACATTGGAGACATTAATGACTGCTTGCGACATGGAACAGATTGGTGAGAACATGCAAGGTCTTGCATTGAACGCAATGACTAAGACAGCTGTCGCAAGACGGTTGGCTTTGTGCGCACAGGTCAGAAGAGTGATTAAAAACGGCCATCTTAAAGATAAGAATAGACAGAAGATTCTTATTAAGGCCAATCAAGCAATGGCGGGTGAGATGGACGAAATGTTAAAGTTTTTGGCACAACCCGTTGACGAGCAGAGTCAAAAGCTCCCCATCAAATGCAAAGAATTTGCTCCAAAGACTTACGACATGATTGTCGAAGTGTTGGAAACGTTGCCATATATCCAAGACGATAGTGCCAGAGGCGCTTTAGAATTTGCTTGTAACGAAGCCGAAAAAGCAACATTTGACATGGCAAGACTGAATAACTTGTTCAATAACACCAAACAGGCGAAGAAAGAGGTCTTATCGACAAAGAAAGAACAGTTCGATGATATTGACAACGAAATTGAACTCTTGATGGGCGAGTTGACGAAAGAAGGCTTTGAAGTGCAGGCTGTTAATAAAGAAGGTGTCAGAGAAAAGGGGAGAAAACAGATCGAAGAGTCGATGAAGGATTTGGCCGAAACTCTCAAAAAGGTCAAAGAAACGCCTCTTGAAGAATTGCCACAACTCTTTGAAAAGATCCAATCACAAAACAGAAAGAATTATAGAGCCGTCAAAGCCGTCGCTTCTACATCAAAAAGAGCGGACTTTAGAAAGAAGTTGTTGGACGCTTCGAAGAGACTTGCAGACCAAATGAAAGGAGTTGTTGACTTGTCACTTGATGAGAATTACGATGAAATTGCAAAGAAAGGAGGTGTTCTCGCAGACATTTGGGCCGAGATGGACGAGACAATGAAGGAAATTACTTTGGACGATGTTGTTATTGCACAAGAAGCTAAAGAAGATGAGATCCAAGATGCTGCTACAAAGGAGTTGGTTGGAGCTGCCAATGTCATTAACAATGCTATGGACAAAATCAATTTGGCTCTTCAGGTCGCAAAGAAGAAAAAAGAAGAGAAAGAGAAGAAGATGATTGCAGAACAAGAAGCCGCTTATAAGGCTGCTGTCGAAGCAAATAACCAAGCCGCCATTGAACAGGCAAAAGCAATGGCAGAGGCGCATCGCGAGAAGAAGACAAAGTACATTGATGACACCGATCTTGATGTCCAAGTTTTGGAACAGGCCCAAGCACTTATCGGTTGCACTTCTGAATTGATTGGTAATGCTACTGTCGCACAGAAGACTATTTCGGCACAACAAATTAACGCGCCTGCTGAAACAGACAGACAAGTCTATAACAAAGACGCCAACTGGGAAGAAGGTCTTATCTCTGCGGCCAAGACAGTCACTGGTTGCATTCAATACCTTGTCAAAGCAGCAAACGACCAGGTTGTTCATAACAAACCAAGTGAGGCTATGTTAGTCGCGTGTGCAAAGTCGGTCGCTGCCAATGCAGTCCAATTGCAAACGGCTTCAATGGTTAAAATGGATTCGAACGACCCAATGAAGAACGAAATTGCGACGAATGTCAAAAAGATCATTGAATCACAAAACCACTTCGTCAAAACAGTTTCTGCTGGTGCCGAGACCAAACAAAATGTCCCACCACCAAAGGTCAGAGGACAACAACAGCTCAGAATTATGTTGATGGAAGCCTCTGTCAATATTACCAATATCGAGAAGGAGTTGTTGAACGCACAAGAGGAGTTGTTGAAGATGAGAAAGGCTAGATACGGTAACGCAAAGATCCCCGTCGGAACAAAGGCAAAACCAGCTGCCAAACAGTCATCAACCAAAGTTGCTTCCGCTCTCAAGCCAACTGCGACCAAAACAGCGGTTCAACCAGTTAAACCCCAACCAAGAGGTGACGGGCCAAAGAGAGGAGGGTTCTTGGCAAACAGAGGTGGTAAACCACAGCCAACCGCAGTTGCCCAACCAACCCAACCAGTTTCCCCTCCTAAAGTCGAAAAGAAAGAAGAGGAACAAAAGGCACAAACACCAACTGGACGAAGAGGTGGATTCTTGGGAAGAGGAGGTTCTCGTAACGTGGCACCTTCTGGTACAACCGAACAAAGAAAGTCCGACCAACAAAAAGAAGAAGAACACAAACAAGAAACACCAAAGGATGTTCCTGTTGTTGCAAAGGAGACGAAAGCAGAGCCTCCACACGAAATTCATAAGGTCAACGTTCCAAAAGGGATGGAGCAAAAAATTGTTGGTCAAGCTGGCGATAAACCGGTCCAAAGAAATTTCAAGATCAACAAAGCATCACCTAAGGCTCAACCACAACAAGACGAGCAGGCTGGTGCATCGAATGAGTTGGCTGCGTTACTTGCTAAGAGAAGGAAGATGGGGTAAGTCTCTTAAGTAAAGAGTCTTAATTGATCTTAATTTTCACTTCAATTTTTTAAGCTTAACACGTTCAAAACAGAAACGTAATAATAATAAGTTTTTATTTTTTTCTGTTACCTAAACCCTTTTTTTGCCTTCATACACAAAACAAGTTTTTGAAAATTTTTATTTTTTTTGTATCAACTCAATTTTGAATTGTATATTTTATAGTCACACAAATAAACAATAATGAGTTTATTTATGTTAAACAAGAGCAAAGCATCTGAAAGAAAAATGGGGTCTAATGATGGTTTGATATTTTTGGTTGTTTTTTATTTAAAAAGTATATTGTCATTTGGTTATAACGATATTGGTGTTTATATTGTCGTTATATTTGTTAATGCGACTATTTGACATTGTTTGTCATTAAGTGGATTGACGATGTAGCGTTTTTTGTTTTAATGTTGTAAAACAATAAAGTGATATGAAATTTCATCCAAAAGATTATTTTTGACAATC